AGACGAACTGCGAAGACGAATTCCCCGAAGACGAATTGCCCCCCGAAGACGAATTCCCCCCCCGAAGACGAATTCCGAAGACGAATTCCCCGAAGACGAATTCCCCCCCGAAGACGAATTCCCCCCCGAAGACGAATTGCGAAGACGAATTCCACGAAGACGAATTGCCCCCCGAAGACGAATTCCCCCCGAAGACGAATTGCGAAGACGAATTTCCCGAAGACGAATTCCCCCCGAAGACGAATTCCGAAGACGAACTCCCCGAAGACGAAATTGCCCCCCGAAGACGACTTTTTCACCAACGACTTGGGAGAAAAGCATGCATACACTCAAAGCCTACATGCATGTCATATATGCATCTAGTTTTTATTTTGGCAAACCGTAGGGACATTTTTTTGTCCATGGTGGGTTTTCACCGTATAACGGACGTCTTTGTTTGGTTCACTTGCATATTTTCCCTACAAGTCCTAGGGCCTGTCATGTTAGGAACTGGGCCCCCAGTTCCAGGAACTGGCGGAACCATGGTCACGGTTCCAAGGGTTGGTTTATGGACCCCAACACCAATCATGATGACCAAAACGAAGGAGGCAACGAAATGAACGACTTGGAAAAAAGGAAGAGATAAACAAACCGCATGTAAGACTTGAAAAAAGGAAGGAAATAGCGACATGAACGCATTGACATGAAAGGAAGAGGTACTGTAAATGAACAGGATGGAAGCGTTGAAACGAGGGGGAGGAAGTAGCGAACGGAAGGGAAGAGTTAAACCGATTTAAAGCGGAAGGAACGACGTATATACGAAAGAAGCAGCGAACGGGATTACAAAGAGTTGAAACGAAAGGAAGGAAGCAACGAATGGAAGGGAAGAGTTGCAACAAAAAGACGGACGCAATGAAAAGGACGAGTTGACAGGAAAGGAAGAGCAGGAAGAACAGGACAGAAGATTTGAGCGAAACGACGGACTTCGCGAAATGAACGCCTTTAAATGAGAGAAAGAGGTGAACGAATAAGATGAAACAATGGGGAGGAAGTAACGAACGGAGCAGAAGTTAAAACGAAAGGAGCGACGTAGGGAACAGAAGGGAAGACAAAACGAAAGGGAAGAGTAACAAACGAAATGCTCTGGATGCTATAGCCTCTGGGCTTGCTCTTTGAGATTTTGAAAATTCTTTTGATGCTACGCTCTTGGCCTTCACCTGAGACGTTTCAGCACGCCCTTGACGCTACGCTCTGGAGAGAGTCGCCTCTTGAATGCTATGCTAATTTTTTCTCTTGGAAGTTCGAACAAGCTCTTGGTGCTACGCTCTTGGCTTAATCTTGGGTTTTCCGACACGCTTTTGCTGCTACGCTCTGAGCATCTCTTAGCTTTCTCCTGGGCCAGTCCGGCAAGCTCTTGATGCTACGCTCTTAGCTGTCTATTGGAACTTCCAACACGCTCTTGGTGTGTTTTATCTTCCAACACTTTCTCTTTGCCTTGTCCTGGGACGTGCCAGCACGCTCTTGCCGCTACGCCCTTGGCTTCTCATGAAGCATGGCGCGCTATTTTTTCTTCTTTTTGTGACGCATTGAGTTAAAACACGCTCTTGATGCTACGTTTTTGGCTCCGGCTCTGACACTCTCTTGATGCTACGCGCTGAACCTCGTCTTGGAACAGTCCAAGATGCTGTTGACGCTACGGTCCACCACAATCGTGATGATACGCTCTTATAATTTTTCTTGGAACTTCCAACGCGCTCTTGTTGGTGCTACGCTCCGCCTCTTGACGCTGCGGTCTGGAGAAAGTCACGCTCTTCCTGCTACGCTCTTAGCTTTGTTCTGGAACACGCCAGGACGCTCTAGTTGCTACGCTCTTTTGTTCTTCGCTTGGTGCTACGCTCTGACCTCCAACACGTTCTGGATGCTAGACTCTTAGGTTTTTCTTAGTCCTTCAACACGCTCTCTTGGTATTGCTCGCTTAGGTTTCTCTTGGAACTTCCAACAGGCTCTTGGTGCTACGCTCTTGACTTCCTCTTGGAACTGCCAGCGTTCTCTTGATGCTAGCCTCCTGTGCTATGCTTTTTGCATCTTTTAGCCTTGGAACTTCCAGCAGGCTCTTGATGTTACGCGCTCAACTCCCGCATGTTCTCAATGCTACACGCTCAATACTTTTTCATTGAACTTCCCGAGCTTTCTCCTGGAACACTCCGGCGCTCTCTTCGTTTGGGTTTGGTAAGAAGATAAGAAGGTTCTACTACTTCAACTTAATGATTGATCCTTGCCTCAAGGATCTTCAACTGAGGTTGCAAAAGCGCGCCACACGATCTTGAATAATTACCTCTACGCTTTATATTTCGACATAACCTAGCCTTGGTGGTCAGGCCAAATCCCTATCTGCCCTCCGGCTCCTCTTCCTCTCTACATTCCTCTATTTATCTTCCCACATACAAAGAATACAGTACGCCTGCGCCCTTGCTCGTCATGCCTAGCCTGTCAACAGGCAATGTGTCGTCAGGCAATAATATACACACAATGCGTCGTCAGGGGGTAATGCGTTGTCAGGGGGCAATGCGTCGTCAGGGAATGTGTCGTCACAATGCGACGTCAGGGGGCAATGCGTCGTCAGGGAATGTGTCGTCACAATGCGTCGTCAGGGGGGAATGCGTCGTCAGGGTATTTTTTTGTCACAATGCGCCGTCAGGGGGTAATGCGTCGTCAGGGGGCAATGCGTCGTCAGGGAATGTGTCGTCAGAATGCGTCGTCAGGGGGTAATGTGTCGTCAGGGAATGTGTCGTCACAATGCGTCGTCAGGGGGTAATGCGTCGTCAGGGGGCAATGCGTCGTCAGGGAATGCGTCGTCACAATGCGTCGTCAGGGGGTAATGCGTCGTCAGGGGGCAATGCGTCGTCAGGGAATGCGTCGTCACAATGCGTCGTCAGGGGGTAATGCGTCGTCAGGGAGTAATGCATCGTCAGGGAATGTGTCGTCACAACGCGTCGTCAGGGGGCAATGCGTCGTCAGGGGGCAATGCGTCGTCAGGGAATGTGTCGTCACACAATGCGTCGTCAGGGGGAAATGCGTCGTCAGGGCATGTGTCGTCAGAATGCGTCGTCAGGGGGTAATGCGTCGTCAGGGGGCAATGCGTCGTCAGGGAATGTGTCGTCACAATGCGTCGTCAGGGGTTAATGTGTCATCAGGGGGCAATGCGTCGTCAGGGAATGTGTCGTCACAATGCGTCGTCAGGGGGTAATGCGTCGTCAGGGGGCAATGTGTCGTCAGGGAATGTGTCGTCAGAATGCGTCGTCAGGGGGGCCGGGGGCATCGCCAATGTGTCGTCACAATGCGTCGTCAGCGTCAGCGCGAAATGTCTTACCCAAGCTGTGGGTGCCCTGTATATTTTATATATTGTACATATTATATATATATATCATATATTACATATATTACATATATGATATATAATACATTATATATATAAATTAAATACATTATATATATATTATTTTATATATTATATATATTATATATATTATATGTATTATATATTTTGTATATATTATATTTGGTACATATTTTACATTTTATAAATATTATATATATATATATTAAATATTATATATATTATATATTATATATATTATATATTTATATATATATATTCAATATATTGTATATATTATGCATATTATATATATGATATATATATGATATATATATGATATATATATGATATATATATGATATATATTATATATATGACATATATTATATATATGATATATATTATATATATTATAAATATATTAAATATTTATATATTATATATATATTATATTATATATTATATATATAATATATATTATATATTATTTTTATTATATATATGATATATATGATATGTATTTTACATATTATATATATTACATATATTAAATATACTAAATATTATATATTATATATATATATATATATTATATTATATATATTATATATGAAATATATTATATATATTAAATATATTATATATATGATATATACTAAATATATGATATATATTACATATATTATATATATTTTATTTATCATATATATTATATATATGATATATATGATATATATTATATATTATATATAATATATATCATATATTATATATATTATAAGATATATATATTATATATATATATTATATATATCATATATATGATATATATGATATATATGATATATATTATATATAATATATATTATATTATATATATATTATATATATTATATTTTATATATATTATATATATATATTATATTATATATATTATATATATAAGATATATAATATATTATATTGTATATATTATTTTTATTATATTGATTATATATTATATATATTATATACTATTATAATATATATATATTATATTATATTGATTATATTTATTATATATATATATTATCTATTATTTTGTAATATATATGCTATATGTATTATATATATTATAAATATTTTTTTATTATATATTATATATTATATAAAATATATTATATATTATATATAATATATATTATATATATTCTATATAATATAATATATATATATAGTATATATATTATATATAATATATATATATATATTATGTATATTATATATATTATATTTTTTATATTATATATATAATATATATTATCTATATAATATATATTATATATAATATATATATTAAATATATTTTATATATAATATATATTATGTATTATATATATTATATATATTATATATGTATTCTTTACATATATATATAATTTTTGCTTTTATATTATTTTTAAATATATATATATGTTTAAATAAAAAACTATATCATTTTTTTTATATATTAAATATTATTCATTATGCATTATACATTATATATATTATTTATATATATATTTTATATTTTATATATTTTGCATTGTGTACTATTAATAATATATTTTGTTTATATATATATAATTTTATTTTTTGGCAGCTGCAGGAGCTTCTGTGGACGATGATGTTCTGGAGGGTATTGCGTGCCAGGCTAGCGCGAACATCGGGTGCCTATGGCCAGTCCCAGTTCAAGCGTGCATGATATGGATATCACACCGGATCAGCACGCATATTGGACGCCTGTTTATGAGATGATTCATCAATCCATTCGGAAGTCAAGGTTCTGGCGCTTTTGAAACTTTGCTCTTCTCCCATGATCCTATGCCAGCTCAAGTGCACCGGGGGAGTCTTCAAAGTAGTTGTGCTGTGTTTCTACACAAGCATGCCCCAACTATGTCCATAGACGAGCAAAAGTATGATGCCTTAGAGCTGTCGCATCATGGGAATAACTCGATCTTGTTAGGGGATGTCACCCCGCCCCAGAGGCATGCGATATCTTCGACTCCCACGAGTCGAAGCAGACTGAGCGAACCACCATTCGCGAGGCCCCAGACCCATCTACCACCTGGACAAGTATGATCAAGTATGCTAAATCATTATCATTGGCTGGACTGATTTTGTGACGGGCTCTGTTTGTACTGAAAGACGTGCACCTGTAGCCAACGTGCACTGCATCGCTGAAATCTTTGGCCACCGTTGCCATGAGATGGGCCTTTCACAAGCGACCCAGCATGCTCAGCAAAGGCATACACATGAAAATCACAAACGAGGCTCTCTTGGCAGCGCTCCCATGGAAAGAGCAGAAGTGCATGTGTTTTTTGCTGGTGACTTTGGCTCCTGACTCCCAGGCGGTAAGCTTTTGGTGCAACAAAAAAGCAACCCCTAATCAAATACAAGAATCCGAGAATCCAACCGATGGTACCAACAGTTTTCTGTCAGCTACAGGGTGGCGGAAGCCAAAGTGCCCGCTGCCCAGCCACAGCTACACAACAAGCTTCAGAGCCAACAGAGGCGGTATATCATTTGCGTTTGAGACAGTCCTATTTTCAACGTATTTGATTCATGATGTATGCAACTTCCAATCTTTGGCGACCCAATTTCAAAGGCCAAATTTGTGGCGCGAGTAGAACTCACATGACTTCACCTTCATTTGCAATGCTTGACTTGCCAAAATCAATATCGGTTAACTTTTTTTGTTGACCCTGTGTGCCATGATGGCAACTGCCCTGCCTGTGGCTGCCAGCAGCTTATGGGAAGTTGCTTGGCACACTTGGAAAAACCACTGAGAATTAGGAGGGGGGTATGGGATGGTACAGGGGCGTTGTTGATGACGTGTTCCTGGTCGTTGTTCAGTAGCCTTCCCCGCTGTTTGCGAAGCCTATCAAGGGCAACAATTATTGAAATCTATATATTGAAGTTGTATGCTGTTTTTTGACCCAGAATTCCGTCGCCAACTGCCTTTAAAGCATTGCAAAGCAGAGAGTTGCATCGCTGAGCATGAGGGGCATGGGCGCGAGCAGCGCCAGGTACTTTGGGGTGCGGCGAGGAGAAACTCTGTTCGGAGAAATGCAGGAGCCAACTTGGTGTACAATAACTAGACAAATCACTAATTATGCACATTTTTAGACTAAAGCAAACGCAAGAACACAACACACATATATTAATGATCCATACATATTATAGGTATATATATATATGTGTATCTATCTGTCTATCTATCTAGCTAGCTATCTAGCTAGCTAGCTAGCTAGTCTATCTATCTATCTATCTATCTATCTATCTATCTATCTATCTATCTATCTATCTATCTGTGTGTAACGATGATACAAAAGATGTATCCACGTGTGTGTGAGCGAAGGTTTGGCTCATATATAGATTCGATACGTTTTCCATAGGAGTGTTTCCGTGTAGTTTGCTGATGTCTTCGGGCGCGGTGTGCAGGATCGTGGACTGCAAGCCCACCGAGAAGGTTACAGGAGAGGGTTGGTATCTGTGCTTACCTGATCTACACACACACACACTGCTGAACACGCGCGCACACACTGGATAAAGCCACAAGGGCAGAAGAAATCTGTACGGTACCGGCAGGTCCACAATCAGAATCTGAATCTCAGGATCTTCAGGTGCAGACAGGTCCAGAATCAGAATCTTAAGGTAAAAACAAGTCCGAAACCAAAATCTCGTAGACGCTACATCATTGTCACAACTGCGGTTCTGATTTAAAAGGTGCTTGGACTTGTGGGAAAAGGTGTTGTTTTGTGAAAATGTGTTGTTTGAGCGGCCATCAGCTATGCGCTCAGGCATCCAGATGCACCGCAGCAGGTACAAAATGCTGCATCCAGCATCTCGTCCACCCGATTTCTGTCGCTTCACTGGCACCGCAAAGAAATCGGGTGCCGTGCCCCCTGCTTGTTGAGTTTTTTGAGTCGGTGGGTTGGTTGTGTTTGATCATGCCTGTGCAAGGGTGTTCCTGTTGGTTTGGCAAAACCAGTTCGCAATACTGGGTCACACGCGCGCACACGGAAGCCACTAGGGCATTGTGCAATTCAAACATCCAGCACACACGCAAACAAATAGTGCATGTGATCACACTTCAAAGGGCAGAGCTGGTTATAACGCGATAAAAAAGAAAATCAACGCTTGGTTTCATGCGAAGAAATCTGTCGGATCCACGCCAATCGCAAAACAGGTTAGTGACGGTTAGTGCATATTTACATTCAACGGTATCTGCATAGATAATCATAGATATATTATACATCGGGAACTTGTTTTCATGTCAACTGCTTCACAGGCAGTCCCGCCTGAATTTGTTGATTAACAAGTATTGTATAAGGAAGGGTGGGAAGGGGGGGAAGGTGACAGACAAGACCACCGAGGGAGACAGAAAGAAGAGTGAGCGGGAGAGAAGCAAGAGAAGAGGGCCCCCACAGCATCCACCTGAGGACACTGCAGGGGAAAAGGAAGATGTCAAGAATGAATGCAAATCAAGCAAAACGCAATGGACTGTCGTCAGGATTCTGGCAGTGTGTCCGCAACAAATCTAAAAATCCCATCGCAAGGCTGTCAAATCGTTGTACAACAGCAATCATAAGTGCTGAAAACTGCGAAGCTAATCAGTCAGAGGTTTTTGGGAAAGCAACATCAAAAACAAAAAATGCGTGCCCGAAACGTGACGGTTTCAAGCGCATGAACCTGAAGCATGACCGCATGTGCAAACTCGCGACAACACTTCCAACTGTAAGACGGCTCTCATGGTCATATGGGTAGCTTCCATTTTTCTCGCATCAAGACCCTGGTAACTTTGCTCCGCGTGAAGCAGGAACAAAGGTTCGAAGGGTATCAATATCCTTTCTGCGCTGATCCTTGGGATAGCTGTGTGCGCGAATCAAAGCAGCTCTTGCGTTGAAAGCTGACACATTGGTCTGAATGGACCCCGCACTTTTGGGATGACGATGTTGCCACGGAAATTCGGGCGGATGGGGACGCAACAAAGCCCAGGAATTCTTCAGGATCTTTAACAGGTTCAAGTTCAACAGGGGTCTTGCAAAAATCAACATTGCAGAGTTGCTGAAGCTGACGCCTGGTAGTTTCATTTTCTTGCAGAAATTCTGGCGCGAGGATCGGTCGATGGTCCACATAGCGTGCAATGGTAATGCAATCAAGAATCTGTGAATGCTGTTGTGCCCAATAGTGTTCAATTCTGGAAACAGAAACTCCAGATAATACAGGTGAGATCTGATTGCCGATCGCTGCACCATGGGTTTGTCGAAAGCTGCGACCACAAACGTGAAAAATACCCAAGTCAAAACGCCGAACAATGTCATGAATGTCACGCAGCCACACAGAATGCATGGGCTGGTCACTGTATGCTACTTTGCCTTGAACGCTGGGCTGGTGGTGCAAATTCGATCGCACAGGCACGCTCAAAACAGCTGTTTGTAAGTCCAGCAAGTTCTGTTCGCAATAGCGCTCAATCAATTATATGGTCCACATCTTCCAAGATCCTGGCCAGTGGGAAGCTAATGAAAAATCCAACTAAATCATCGTTGTGCAAGAAAAAGTTGTGCGATTTATCAAATGCTTTGTGTACTTGCCGCGAAATTTGGTAAACTGTTCTACCTCCAAACGCTTTGTGAAAAACCTGCTTGGAGATGTCAATGAGCAACCAGCTAGTGGCAGAAAGAAGAGGCGAAGCAATCGCATTGTGATATGTTATAATGGACCTGGTCGTAGAGAAATCTTTCTTCAGTTTGGGTAAAATGTACGCGCTGGCTACCCTGTACTGTAGGTCTTTCTTGTCTTGGGTACGGGTAAGTTTTCTTCAACCGCGCAGAAATCATCCGGCTGCATATGTCTGGCAAATGCAAACCCAGCGTAGGTGCACACAATGGAGCGTACCTCTTGGGATCCAAAAAACTGTTCATCAAGAGCTGATAATACAAGACAGGGCAGATATCCATACTTCGTAGGGTCTTTGGTCAACGCAATGGATAACAAATTCTTTGGTCAAACCTTGGATACGTTTCAAGTCATGCCAGGTAATGCAATCTTTGCTTGCTCGTAGGTGGTGCGGCCATTGTTGTTCAACAAACTGAACCCACAAAGAAATATCCACAACTTCAAGACTGTGATGCTTCAGCCATTGGCTCACGATGCCAGTTGTGATTTCTAAAAAAGTTGACTTGTTGACAAAATCTGGGAACAGAAAACTGCACAATGCTGTGTACGTTTGGAGGCAATGTCAACTGTGACATTGCTGACGCCATGTGTCCACCAGTAGTTCAGCATGTTGGATGTCTAAGAAGGAAATCTTTGCAAGCGCATGATGTGGGAGGAAACAAAGACCAAGTCCTCATGAAGGTTTTGATATTGTAGAGGACGTCAGCTACTGTCAGACTTGGTTTGCAGCAAACTGTTGTAGAAGGCAAGTGGAATTCTACTTCGTGGTGTTTGTGCTGGATGATGTCACGTAACCAACGGGTGACCGCTGTTGGAAATTCAAGGTGTGCCAAAAACGGAATTGTAAGAGGCTTGAGGTTTCTTGGACGTGCGCAGTTTCGTCGTTTGAGCTCTTTGTATAGGCAACGCCGCACCTTGAATTTGATGTGGGCTTCCGCCGTTTTGGCCAATCGAACTAGATACAGCAGCTGGGTACAGTTCATCTCTGGAGAACGAAGTTGCCTCCAAGCATCCAGCTGTGCTCTAGTGACTCTAGTGTTACAACTAAGATTGTACAGCAGCTGCCATGCATCATGATGTTTTTCGTACACTTGGTTGAACAACCACTGACCTTTGTGAACGCTTAATCTTGCGCGCAATCTTTGACGCAGTTTTTTTATGGTCAAGTAGACAGGTAGAGCTGAAAGAAGAGGTGCTTTGGATCTGCGAGGTACTTTGCCAGCAGCAAAAATTAATTTGGCAATGAAAGGGTAGTTGAGCCGGGGTTGAAATTGTTCAATATTTAAGTTCTCGGACGCGAAGTTCAACATTGTCCTTGCATAGGATCCATGGTACCGTCACGTATTCGAAAAATGTACCGGTAGTTTGCCAATATCTCAGCGCAAGTTCACATTTGACCAGTTTGTTTTGACTCAACTGGCTAAGCTTCCTAATTCGTGCATTTCTTCGCAAAAACAAAGTCTGAACAGTACTACCGCTGTAGTGACAGCGTCCTGCAGGTTCAAGCATGGAACTGCCGTGAATGCCAGTGTGGAAGCACATGTATACAGCTTTTGGCTCGCGGAATTGTTGCCAGGATAATGTGGGGACCTGGTGTCTATGCGACCTCAAGACCCATTGGGATTGTGACCAAGTTGACAAACTCCAGGTCCTCAGCGCTTTCCAAAATGTACGGTACAAAATGAAAGCAGAAATCTGTTGAAATTCCAAAGTGGGTTGGAAGAACGTATGAAGACAGCAAAACATTGAACGCACAACTGCACTGAGCCCAGCTTTGTTGGGAGTGGCTAACCCGCTCAGTAGCTATATATCATTCCAAAAGTTTGATGCAAACTAACAGGACTTTCATCAAAACAGGGTCGGTCATCTGTCCAGCCAGACGGACTGAGCATCCGTATTTGGCTACCGCATTTGGCGATGCACTGATCTCATCTTTTGACATGGCCTTCGGCATGTTGTTGACTTGCTTGAAGGCTTCTTGGATCTGGGTGTGTGCTTCGGATTTCAAAGGGAGGCTTTGGAGCCACTTGGTGAGCCCTTAGGAGCTTCCCGTGTTCATGGGGAATTTGGAGAGGACTCGTTGATCATCGGCCGGACTACCCTGGATGAGTTCTTGAACTGTGGCCACGGGCAAAGTGTGGCAGGAAAACCCCTAACGCTGTGGATGAGTTTCTGCGCTGATTGGATGGATCTTGGGTCTTGCGGGGCTCAGCGTGGCCTGGAAAATCTTTGGGCGGAGGACCCGCATGGCTAGCCGCATTTTTGCTCCAGGTCTATGCCTGGCCCGAACATGTTTCAAAATCTTCTTAACAAAAACGGATTCACGGATGTTGTGGGTAAGAACTGCTCCTGTGAACCACCCTTGGCCCAGGTATCTTACTCCTTGTTTTTGCCAGCCCATGTAGAGAAGTTCTGGAAGCGTAATGGCAAGGAGGTTTCTTCCAGCCAATCCGTGTGTCTTGGTTGCGGCCCAGTCAGTGGACATGATTTTCTTCGGGAGCTTTTTGCCCCAAACCTCTGCTGTCTGGATGTCTGGATTTCCCGTGGGGGATCCAGGCATGAACTCGTCCCGTCTGGGCCGCTTTGGCGTGGCATCATTGCCGTTGCCATCATAATCGGGTCTTCTTTTCTTTTGGGGAATCTCCCCACTGGTTGTAGTCCCAGGATGACCACGACTGGTTCCAGCGATTATCCCAGCTGGATCTACGCCAGCCACTCGACATGTCGGCCAAATCTGCTTAGACAGCAGCCCAACATTAAAGTCAAACTCACGACCCCTTCTGAAATAGAGCCGGCCACGTGTTTTGAGGAAACCCGAAAACGAGGAAGATTATGAATTGTCAAGTTCAAACTGGACAGGAAGGCTCAATCTCAAGTTGCAGAAATAGAAAAGAGATTCGCCAGCCAAGCTAGTGGTATCAAATAGGTGCAATCTGGAGATGCCTCGCGTGCAAGGGCGGTCATAGTATTCTCGAAAAAATCAGAAAATTAAACATGCTAAAGTTAATAAACCATATTCGCGCGTCAATACTGACAACTTTGCGAGTTTGCTGATGTCTACTGTCTACTGCAAAAGTCCAAGCAACCCAGTGCAAGTGTGACCCAGCATTGTAGCAATCGCACCCGCACCTGCTGTATACAAACGCCCCAAAAAAATCAGGAAGTAGGAAAAGTATATATGCGTTATCATGAAACCGTGCGAAAGGACCCATCAGGGACTCCAATGTCAATATACCGCAAAGAAGATTCTGCTTAGTTCTTTATATATTCACAGGAGGTCAAGACGGGTTGTCGGCCTGATTCGGCCGTTGCAACAAGAGTCCGAAGAACTTAAGGGAGAAACATGGAACTGCACAAGGCTTGAATCTGGTGAAGGAGAAAGCCAGGGGGACAATGGTGCAGACACAGGTAGAGATGAAGGTCATATGAGGATAAACTTATGTGACAGGGAAGGGCACAAAGCAGATTTGCCTGCGCAAGGCAGAATCACAGCACACTCAGGAACTCTGATTTTTTTCATGGGCTCAGTACTCCAGTGCTAAATAGGTGAATATGAGCATAGGTGCTGTGAATGCACCACCTCTCTGATCCATTAACAATGCCCTTTCGGCGGGCTGCTCATTGGTGGTTCCGCCAGAGTTGAGGATGCCATGCTCATGCATGGATAACATCTCCCCAAGGATTACTACGCCCTGATTGCCCTTGGCAATGCCCCGTAGCTTCTTGAGCAGGGTATTACACTGTTGATTGTCTAGCCCACCGATTCCTGCCAAACCGTAGAAGCCGAATCTTGGAAAGTCCTTTGGGTTGCCTGGGTCAAAAGCATAGGGGCGAATGACTCCTTGAGTCAAAATTCTGCCAGCTGAATAGAAGTCGGTGCCATGAGCCCAGCTATATCGATAGGTTTTCTGGCGATCACCTTGAGAATCTGTAGGAGCAGCAAAGACTGGACTCACGTCATACCAGTCAAAGATCTCAACCAAAGTCATTCTGTTCTTTCGCTTTCTGCTTCCATGTAGGAGACCCTATCAGCAGAAATATTGCGTAGACTTTGTCGCCCAATAAGGGCTTCGGTCACTTTCTGGCTCATATGGAGGCGTTTCAGGGTCTTTCTGTTCGATAATATGGACAGTATCAAGGACATCAGCTGAAGTGACGGCCTTCAGGTACCTGGATCTCGCACTCTTGCCATTCTAAGAGCGTTTGGGTTCGCAACGTATCAGACCAAGCTGTGGCAATGGCCTGGGCCCAAAGTTGGTCTGGTCCATTGTTGTGGTCATCCTTGGGAGGTGAGATAGGTGTCTTGCGGACACCTAATGGTTGAAAATTGGCACCTGTTTTTCCTTTCAAGGATTTGGATCCGGTTTTACCACCCTTTTTGCCAAATTTGCCAAAATTCCAGCCTTTGGCTTTGCCCTGTCCCTTGTCTCTTCTGTGGGTGGATTGTTGCCAGCTGGTCTGGCGTGAATCTTGTGACTTCCAAGAGCGCGAAGCATTCCAAGCTTGGTAGCTTGTCTTGCTGGATTGGGCTAAATCTGGAGGAGCAGGTGGTAAAGAGAATCCTTTGGTTGCTGAATCATTGTTGGGGACAATTCTTGCGGAGACCAGGGACGAGAAGATCTTCGACGCCTAGATCTACGTCGTGATCGACGATTGGAGCGACTTCTGGACTTTTTCGATCTCCCAGGAGATGAACTAGACCGTCTTCGCTTCTTGGATTTCTTCCTGTGCCTCTTCTGGACTGGGTATAACTTCTTTTCATCAGGATCAGGACTGGGTAACTTGTGAGCGCCAGCTTGACTCGATGGAGCCAGTGGTGGACAAAGGTCCCTGAATCGGAACTGGCACATAAATGATCTGAGGGCCTTGGTTGGGTTGAAGCTGATGTTGCGTGCATGTTTGCCAGCCGCTGGGCAGCATGTTGCCCATCATATAGACGGCATCTGGGGAATTGTCATCTGGTGCGGCACAGAAATCTTTTCATTTGCAAAGGGATTTCGGGGTTAGAGCATCCCGGATTCAACATCATGGTAGGTCAGGCATTCAAGCGTAACACGAATATGTTTTCAAATTACAGAGGTTTCTTGTTTGATGGGAAGTGTCCCAAACCCGCATGTATGAGTCTGTGTGATACATGTCAAGAAATGCTGTCCTTATTGAGAGAAGGTGCGTTATTCCATTTGCTGCACAGATCCAACACTTGAACCTGGGTGTAAACATAGCGGGAACAGTTTGAAACATGCATGCACATAGAAACTTGCAAACAGCAAAGGATGGAATCCCATGCGCAAAAATCAGAGGAAGCAGAAAGTGGAGGACAGGAGAAACTTGTGTAAGCCTTGTTCCATCCCTGGTATGTAGTACGCGGTGTTGCTATCCACGTTGTCAACCTGGGTCGTTTTCATGGACGGGAAGAAGCTTGTGGTTGGTACATCGTTCAGAGCAGCACCCGGAGCCCCACCCCAGCAAGCAAAAAGCATCGTGCCAGCTGCTTTGTGCTTACCTAAAAATAACAAGAACAAACCGTCATTTACACACCCTGCCGTGCGTCGCTGAACAAGATTTTGTGCTAAGCAACATGAAGCACAATCAACTTTAATACGAGATCAGAACCACATCATCATGCCACTGGGTATTGGGTCCAGCTTGACTGGGGCAGACTAGGTATACGCGTGGGCGTGTTGCTTGCTTGCACAGGTTGGAAGAATCTTTGCGGTCAATCTTGAAGAAAGGATCTTTACGGCCAACCTTTCAGGATAGAATCTTTACAGTCAATCTCAAGGTACCATATCATCAAAGAAAATGCTTCTGAATCTTTCCGGTCAATACCGAGTCGGGGCGCAATCACCCATCACGTCGACAGCCAACGAGGGGATCGCCGGGACACACTGGATAAAGCCACAGGGGCAGAAGAAATCTTTACAGTACCGGCAGGTCCACAATCAGAATCTGAATCTCAGGATCTTCAGGTGCAGACGGGTCCAGAATCAGAATCTTAAGGTAAAAACAGGTCCGAAACCAAAATCTCGTAGACGCTACATCATTGTCACAACTGCGGTTCTGATTTAAAGGGTGCTTGGACTTGTGGGAAAAGGTGTTGTTTTGTGAAAATGTGTTGTTTGAGCGGCCATCAGCTATGCGCTCAGGCATCCAGATGCACCGCAGCAGGTACGAGATGCTGCATCCAGCATCTCGTCCACCCGATTTCTGTAGCTTCACTGGCGCGGCTAAGAAATCGGGCGCCGTGCCCCCTGCTTGTTGAGTTTTTTGAGTCGGTGGGTTGGTTGTGTTTGATCATGCCTGTGCAAGGGTGTTCCTGTTGTTTTGGCAAAACCAGTTCGCAATACTGGGTCACACGCACACACACGGAAGCCACTAGGGCATTGGGCAATTCAAACATCCAGCACACACGCAAACAAATAGTGCATGTGATCACACTTCAAAGAGCAGAGCTGGTTATAACGCGATAAAAATGAAAATCAACGCTTGGTTTCATGCGAAGAAATCTGCCGGATCCACGCCAACAATATATATATATGATACACATGTTGTGTATACAAATAAATATATACTACAGATGCTATAGTTAGCCCTGCAAATCTCAGCAACTTAGAGATAGATAGAAACCATGTGAATCCTCTGAGTAGTAGGTGGCCCATAATTGGGAAGTTTGCGAGATATTTCAATGCAACTTTCAGGGCATGGCCTGTATCTGCCTACAAGAATAACTTACCCCATTTGCCCCGGCTCGCAGTCATAGAGCCTGCTGGTGCTGTGTTCACAGAGACCTTGACTGGTCTGAACGAAGTGCGCCAATGGGAAGTGGGACTGAAGGGTGGGCAGCGAACCAAAGAGTTGCCATTTGATGTGCTGTAGGCATGTTTGAGCCGTCGAAGTTCATCCAATTCGCTGGTGTCACCATGGCTCCCAGAGGTGGACCGAGAGCTGCTTCTCTTCAGCGGGCGAGGGCATTTGAGCGCGGTTTGTTGGCTATTGAAGCTAGGTGCCAATGTTTCAGCCACCGACAGTGCCCTGGCAACGAGACTCTAGTTGACAAATTGACAAGCTGTAGGTCACGATGATAGCTGCTGATAGCCGAATGTCTTATTTGGATTTATTCCGATCTAATTTGGATTTACTTGGGCAGTTTGATCAGTTTGTTTCCTTCCATATGCATCTGCATATGTTATACAATATATCCATATGTACATATTGTTGTAGGTCTCTGTGCCAAACCACATTGCAACACGTATCCGGTACTTACACATTCGACTTACAGTGCCCCACAATCCAAGTAACTGGCAACGCCGATGCTCACATTCAGACTTATTGAGACGTTTTGCTACAAAGCCCCTGGCACTTGCGATATCTTGTGCTCTTTTGGCGTCCCCGCGTGATTTGCCTCAAGTTTTTTTGGGGGCTCTGACCCCAGGCAATGGCACCTCAGGGCTTCATGCAGCCTGTCGCAAGGGCAATTTGAAGGTGGTGCAGTTCTTTCTCCAAAGCAACAGGCATGGCAGGGAATGGATAATTTCAATTTTGTTTCAAATATTTGAAAAAGCTCATGGGGAAGTCGAACATGGGAAAGGCACGGGGCGGGGGTCCTATCAGGGAGCAGTGGTATTTGTTTGCTATGGCTATGGTCAAGAAAGGATAGAAAGGGGGGTCAGTGATTGTCATGCGGAGATGGATGTCTGCATGTGCTTCAGCTCGCTCTAAGCGTGGGGTTAAGAAATGTAACCCACCACAGTTTGAATCAACGATTAAGAATTGCCATTTCATTCCGTTCAAACCATGGCATTCTCTGGGGCCATAGCCCACTGGCCAGCTTCGTGGGCTGCACGGACTGTGCTGGCTGGACTCCTCTGCATGTGGCAGCCTTCATGGGCCAGCGCCATGTCTGCCAGGACGGATCCATGTTGTCGTTTGCAGCTTTGTGTTGGGACATCCCCTACTAATATTTACTATTGTCATAATTGTCATCCAATACCTTGCATTTCGTCTTTTACCACTTTATGATTCTTTAACATACTTTGATTTTGATACATTGGTATCGACATGTATGCACGCAAAATTACATATTTATACATATTTGACAAAACACATAATTACATAGATACATACATAGATACATACATACATACATGCATGCATACATACATACATGCTTACGTTACGTTACGTTACGTTACAATACGTTACGTTACGCTACGTTACGTTACGTTATGTACATACGTACATATGTACATACGTGCATACGTACATTACATTACATTACATTGCGTTACGTTACATGACATGGCATGACATTGCATTACATTACATTCCCTATATTACCTACATTACATACATTACATACATTACATACACTACATACATTGCATACATTACATACATACATTACATACATTGCATACATTATATACATTACGTACATTACATACATACATTGCATACATTGCATACATTGCATACATTACATACATTACATACATTACATACATTGCACACATACAAAACATTACATTACATTTACACTTACACTTACACTTACGCTACATTACATTACATTTCATTAAATTACATTACATTACATTTCATTAAATTACATTACATTACATTTCATTAAATTACATTACATTACATACATACATACATACACACATACATACATACATACATACATACATACTTACATACATACATACATACATACTTTACATACATCATAAACATTACATACATTACGTACATACCGTACATACCATACATACCATACATACCATACATACCATGCATACCATACATACTAAAGATACCGTAGATACAATAGATACCAGGCATACCATATACACCCTAAATACCATAGATACCAAAGATACCATAGATACCAAAGATAACATAGATACTAGATACCATAGATACCATACATACCATACCTACCATACCTACCATACATACATACATACATACATAACGTACATGCATGCATCCATCCATCCATCCATCCATACATACATACATGCAAACATACATGCAAACATACATGTAATCATACATACATACATGCAGACAGACAGACAGACAGACATACATACATACATAATCATACATACGTACATACATCATCATCCATCACTCCATCCATCCACCCATACATACATACATACATACACATACACATGCACATGCACATGCGCATACGCATACACATACCCACATCCATCCATCCATCCATCCATCCATCCATACATACATACATACATACACATACACATGCGCATGCACATGCACATGCACACATACATACATGCATCCATCCATGCATGCATACATACATACATACACATACACATACACATTCACATTTCACATTTCATATTCACATTCACATCCACATACATACATACATACATACATACAACCATCCATCCACCCATCCATCCATCCATCCATCCATACATACATACATACACACATACACGCACACACACATACACATACACATACACATTCACATTCACATTCACATTTACATTCACATTCACATTCACATTCACATACAAACATAACCACACATACAGACATACAGACATACACACAGACATACACACATACAGACATACATACACACAAACATACATACACAGATGGATGGATAGATAGATAGATAGACAGATAGATAGATAGATTAGATTAGATTAGATTAGATTAGATAGATAGATAGATAGGTAGATAGATAGATAGATAGTTAGAAAGAAAGATAGATAGATAGACAGACAGATAGACAGATAGATAGACAGATAGATAGGATAGATAGATGGATAGATAGATAGATAGATAGGTAGATAGATAGATAGTTAGAAAGAAAGATAGATAGATAGACAGATAGACAGATAGATAGACAGATAGATAGTTAGAAAGATAGATAGATAGATAGACAGATAGACAGATAGATAGACAGATAGGATAGATAGATAGATAGATAGATAGACAGATAGATAGATTAGATTAGATTAGATTAGATTAGATTAGATTAGATTAGATTAGATAGATAGATAGATAGATAGATAGATACATACGTACATACAGACATACATACATAGATGGATAGATAGATAGATACACACATACGGCCGTGCATACATACATGCATACATACATACACACACACACAGGCACACACACACATATATATATAAATATACATACGCGCCATACTTACCACCCGCACACACACAATATACGGAGCCGGTTCCTGTGGCAGATTATTTTCAATGTTTCGGACATGAACTTCGGGCCTTTGAAAGGCGGAAGCGCTCGACATTCTATGACTTGGCCCCTTCATCCGAGTGACCCTGTTCAGTTGCATTTCTTTGAAGGTGCTCGTGCCAAACCTCACCTAAGACTTAACATCCAGCAGGAGCTGCTAGCTGCTGCAGCTGAAGCAACGCTTCCCAGCAACACCGGGCAGAGCCCTCTCGAGCTGTGCACGGACGGGCGGCTGCAAGTCTCACCTCACATGAATGTTTGGGGTGTCCCCGTTCTTTGGGTTGGAATTTGGTTGGAAACCGTACTGTGCGTTATTTGTCTCGGAGCATGCTCGATGTGGAAGTGGCCTAAAAGGGACTTACATATGGGAACAGCCGTTGGGTGTCATGTTTAGCCAAGAACTGGCACAGTAAGTTGCAGGCAGTGTACCAGGATGCCAAGGATATCCCTGTTGCAACTGGACAGGATACCAGCACAAGACAACTAATTGTTCTACATTCTGGTGATGCCGCTTGGCATGAAGCGCAGGGTGTGGAACACAGACATGCAGCCGCCTTGTCTTCCTGAGCCTCTCCCCTCACCCAGCTCTCCATGTTAAGTTTCAAGTAGAAAATGCCTTCTGTATCATCTCCTCAGCCCAAAGCATATATCTACTGATGCTGGGCAAGGTCAAACTCAAGACATTTCCAGGTCCCGAAACCTAAACGAGGACTTCCGCGCAATACATGTAATTACATGACGTTAAATACAAGCCAACTTGTGTGAGTGAAAGTAGACAATTAGATGGCCAGACTCCAGTGCGTTCACAATTTGGCTGGAAACATGCCTGTGTGCATTGATAGCTTTCGTATACTTCCGTCTGCTTTCGTCAGTTAAGCGTTTGCCGCTTTCTTCCAACATCAGATGCAAACCCAGGGATTCACAGAGAATCTTGGAGAATCTGACTAGCAGCATACGCAGACTTCCATTTCAATGAAGAACCACATGGCAGAAAGAATTGACAACAGATAGTTTGACAGACAGAACTTCTTTTCAGTAGAGGGATGGACGTTCAACAAAATAGTAGTGCGGAACATAAATTCTTGAACGGCAATTCGGGAAAGCTGTCGGCAAATGGCCGGGCACACTTCCGGCGTCAAGAGACTGAGAATGATCCAGCCAATGGAAAACTAGGAGTAATTTCCGGATCAGAAACTATGGAGTCGAATCAGCGTCACCGGAATCAACATCCAAACGTTCGGATCAGCGTCGCAGAATCAGCGTCAAAGACGATCCTGGATCTGATCAGCATCGTGTATAAATGGTCGGGATGGACGGTCGGGACGGTTGGGAGGGTCGCGATGGTCGGGATGGTCGCGATGGTCACAATGGTCGGGATGGTCAGGATGGTCGGGATGGTCGGGATGGTCTGGACGGTAGAGCCCGCAAAGTTGCCATCCATACCGTCCCGATCCAATTGTCCCGATCGAACCAATGTAGATTCCGATACAGCCGCTTCAACCAATCTAGGTTCCGATCCAATGGCCCCGATCCAACCAACACCCGAAAACTGGATGGCAGAGGTGAAAAGGAGGTGTGAAATTCAGCAAGCAATGAGATACCAGAACATAGCAGCGAGAGGCAGGATAGGACATGTGAGAGAGGCGACGTGGTTCTTCATCAAAGGAAGTTTAGAAGTCAAACTTCCGACAATATGGACAGATAAAAAGCAGAGATGGGAAGAGTCAGAGAAGAGAAGAGAAGAACAAAGAAGATCAAAAAGAGAAAGTCTCAGAAGATAGAAGATGGAGGCGCGAAAAGGTAGGAAAGTCACGAAAAACTGTGTTTATTTCCAATGATTTGTGGCTCCGGAGGGTCGAAAAGTAGGCTCGCTAAAGCGGCGGGTGCGGAGCCAGCTGGCCAGATGAGAGATGAAAAATTGCACGCCCTTGTGGCGCGAAGCACGTTTGCAAGTGAAAAAGCTAATTACTTTACTTCGTGTGATCCCCACCATGACATTTAGACATTTTGTTGCTGGCAAATCTTTTGCATTCTATCTGACATATCTTCTGGCATTCTATCTGGCATATCTTCTGGCATTGTATCTGGCATATCTTTTGGCATATTATCTACTCAAATCTTTTGGCATTCTATCTGGCAAACATTCTGGCACTTTATCTGGCATATCTTCTGGCATTCTATCTGACATTTTATCTGGCATTCTATCTGGCATACCTTCCGGCATTCTATCTGGCATATCTTCTAAAATTTTATCTGGCATATCTTCTGGCATTCTATCTGGCATATTTCATGGCATTTTATCTGGCATATCTTCTGCCATTCTATCTGACATTCTATCTGGCATATCTTCTGGCATTCTATCTGGCCGTTGAGGTCCAGCGGTGCACACTGAGCTGGGTAGGTCCCAGGTTGAGGTCCAGCAGTGCACACTGAGCTGGGAAGATCCCAGGTTGAGGTCCAGCGGTGAAGGTCCCAGGTTGAGGTCCAGTGGTGCACATTGAGCTGGTCCCAGGTTGAGGGTGCCCACTGAGCTGGGAAGGTCCCAGGTTGAGGTCTAGCGGTGCCCACTGAGCTGGGAAGGTCCCAGGTTGAGGTCCAGCGGTGCACACTGAGCTCGGACGTTGGCGAAGAGCTTGGCGAAGAGTTGGCAAGGCAACAGTGGACGTGGAAGTGGAGGCAGAGGTGGTGGAGGAGAAGCTGGCGGAGGAGGAGCAGGAGGAGCAGGAGGATAGCTAGCCGAGGACGAGGAGGAGGAGGAGGAGGAGGAGAACAACTGTGATAAAATCTAACAACCCTCACCCGGCAGGTGGGGAAAAACACCTCACGTTCGGAACACTTTTTGAAGTTGAGACGTCGAAAAAGTGCACGCCGTTGTGGCGCGAAGCACATTTCCAACATGTACAAAACACCCCATGTTCGGACCACTTTTGGAAGTTGAGATGTCGAAAAAGTGCACGCCATTGTGGCGCGAAGCACATTTCAAAGTCAAGAGTGTAAAAAAAAACTGAGGGGTACGGAGCGCTTTTGGACGTTCAGATGTCGTTTCGCGTGGCAGGCGCGAGGGGTTGTGCACCTTGTCAAAAGTGAGCAGAACGTGAGGGTTTTGTAGCAGTTTTAAAAACGATGGCAGGCGTGGGACATATGCAGAGGATATGGCAAGATGCATGTCGCGCGGCAGGCGCAGTACAAGAGACATGTTCATCAGAGCCGTTAGGAGGTCCGGGCGCTGATTTCCTGAGAGGGGTTGCATTTTGGTGCATTCAGATCTTAAGTTTTGGGAAGATGATTTTGCGTGACACGTGCAGCACTTTGTATGACGTGGCATCAATTTTTTCGTGGCAGGCGCAGCACTTTAGACAGATGGAGTGCCATTTTTGAAGGAAGTCTCGCAGAATTGTTTCGTTTTTGACGTTGTCAACTTCGAAAATTGCGGACGTCTCGCAGAATCGTCTCGTTTTTGATGTTGTCAAGTTCAAAAAGTGAGGTAGTCTCGTAGAATTGCTGCGTTTTTGATGTTGTCAAGTTCAACAACTGACAAAGTGTCGCAAAACGGCTGCGTTTTCAAGCTTGCAGATAGACAGGCAGATAGACAGATAGACAGACAGACAGACAGACAGAGAGAGAGAGAGAGATAGATAGATAGATAGATAGATAGACACAGACAACGACAACGACAACGACAACGACAACAACAACAACAACAACAACAACAACTACAATTACAACTAGAACTAGAACTAGAACAACAAGAACAACAAGAACAACAAGAACAACAAGAACAACAAGAACAACAAGAACAACAAGAACAACAAGAACAACAAGAACAACAAGAACAACAAGAACAACAACAATGCAACAACAACAACAACGACAACAACAACAACACAACAACGCTACAACACTACAACACTACAACGCTACAACACTACAACACTACAACACAACAACACAACAACACACAACACTACATTACACTAATTACACTACATTACATTATATAATTACACTACAGTACGCTGCAGCTACAACTGCACGACGCTACATTACAACTACAACAACACTACTTCACACACACACACACTACACTAGACACACTGCACTATGCTACACTACGTTACACTACACCACACGACACCCCACTGCACTACATTACGCTACACTACTTTACAACTACAACTGCAACTTACAACTACAACCCCACTACAACTGCACTACACCACACTACATCCAACAGTTGTGGTGAGGTGACCACTACAACCATTGCAACCACTCCAAAAAACACAACTCCAACCACCTTTCGGTCCATCAGTGGATTCGCTTTGCCATCCGTGATTCACAACAACCAACCTCTCCTGTAGGCTTTCTATTTTTGAAACTTCCGCCACCGCCTTGTGCGGCACTACTGGTATCTCTTCATCGAAGACGAACTGTAGTTGGTATGGTAAAATAAGATGAAATAAGTGCAAGTGCATTGTTGGAATTGCAAGTCTGAGCCTTTTTTGGTTTTGAATTTTGAGAGGGTGGGCTTGAATCTTGGAACAAAAACAGTTGTCATGTTGTACTCCCAACACGTTCCAAGGCACGGCCGGCTGCGCCAATGCTGCCTCACTCAGCCGCCCCCGTGGTGGCACCGGTGTCAAGTGAGGCGCGGATAGCGTTGCCCATGGTGGCACCAAGCAGCGCCTTTTGGGGTGAATACAGATTATGCAATATTATGCATAATCTGTGTGTAGATACAGGTGTAGATATAGATGTAGAAATATGTAGAATGATATTTGGCTAGCGGATAGGCTAAGCCGGGAGTGTGGCGTCGCAGATTTGTCCGCATGGAGGGCGCAGACCAAAGAAACAATTGGCAAGAGGATGAAGAATTTACAGTACTTGGGCCTGACGCGTGGCATCTATTTGTGCTGAAAGTCATCGTCATCCGCGGAAAAAATGCGTGTGTCCTACATGCTTTCATCGGAGTCAATCGCACATTTCATGGACGTCAGGACTGCCTCCAAGAAGATTCCAAAGGCAACGAGCACAGACACGCCCTGACTTGGTGAATTTTGACTGACACGTTGACCCCTTGGTTCGAGTTTTGTTTACTTTGGATAGAACACATTACTTTAAACACGATAGACAGAACAATATAGAACATATGGCTGTGATGAGTTTTCTGGGGTCTTTGCTTATCACGAAAGCTAGCTTGTGCTAGCTGAAGTTGCTCTTGCTTTAGCAAGGAATAGGCAGACAGCAGGGTCTTCGAATTCCTTGAAACTTTCAATGTTATACCCCCCCTCTCCTTCCAGTGGCAGACCAGGGTTCAATCCTCTTTGAGGGCAGGTACAGGTTTGTCATTTTCATCGTCATCTGCGTCTTTATCTTCATCTTCTTCATTTTTCATCTTCACTAGGAGTATCGTCATCATCATTGTCGTCATCATCATTGTCGTCATCATCATAAGTCATAAGCCCCTTTCTCTGTTCGCATTTCGATCTGGTTCTTTCCTTTGCCAGTTAGACACTGCTCTTTCAGTTTATTCTTTCTGTTGAGCAGTCTCCGATACAACATTAGTACCGTCCTGCTAGCTTTCGTACCGCTCAAGAGCCAGCACGTTTGGCCTTGAAAGTTGGCTTCGTTGGGAGGCGAGGGCGAAAAACCAGAAATTCGCAGCTTGGCTCGCATTTCTTTTGGACATGTCAGTCCTTTCAGGGTGCCCCCGGACAACTATTGACAACTTTTATCTACGTGCGCGGAGTTTGTTTTGCCTGTTTCTCATTCGCAAGGCAGCCCTCTCCAAGGCTATGAGCCATTTTTCATTCCCAGAAAGGCTGTGTTTGGAGATTGTGAAAGAGAAGCGCGTCTTGATGCACTTTGCGACCGAATCTTGGCCGAAGACTCGCCGACAACTTGGAGAGCCTGTGAGACGATGAAGACAAAGAAATTGATGGTGGTAATGATGGTGATGTTGACGGTGATGTTGATGATGCGACGGTGGTGCGGATGATGTGGAGGAGGAGAAAGAAAAGGAGGAAGAAGTGCTTTGGGAGACTTCCTTTGGTCTTGTACTTGCAATTGCCTCTGGTAAGGGTGAGCATCCCTCCAGGACCAAACAGAAGGGGAGCTGGTGACTTTAAAGGAGGAAGATGTTTCACCAAAACGAGACACCATTTTATTATATCAGATGGATCTGCAGACGCGAGGCCTTTCTCAGAAGTTCTTCGAGCAACATGGTGGGCGCGCTCTCGCGTTCATGGTGGCTGCTCAGCTAATTTTCACAGTTTCACATCTTTTCACAACTATTGATTCAGTGAGCCGAAAACGCTTTTCTTGAGCAGCGGATAGCAGCGGGCTTAATTCCGAAAATTCTTGAAGCATCCCTGATGACAGAATGCACAGACCTTGCTTCCCTGCTTGTTTTTCATGGCCAATGGCCATTGATCTAGCCTTTGAGCAGTGGACACTTGTATATCTCCGTCTAAGGCCTCGGGGGTGGTGCGAGACTTTCCAGTGGACCTCATCATTTATTTGCGAGCTCATGAGTCGCTTGGATGGCGGACCATGAAATTGAAAGATTTCTGACCCATGACGCCCCATGGAACTTGGATGAACTCTCAGACTGAGATTTGGACAAGGTGAGCCTAGCTGAACAGGTGAGTCTTAGTCTTGGTTTCATCTATATATATGCAATTGTGGTATGGTATGCTGTGACAATGCTGTGTCATGATGCATTGTGCACTTGCATCCCTTTGAACTGGGACCGGAAGCTGTTGCGACCCCCGCCACGGACAACTACTTACCCGCTTCCATCCATTTCAGGTGCTCTCCTCGTGAGATTGGGTGGTTGCTGGGATGCTATTTAAGCCGACGGTCCGACGGTGCATGGGAGATTCTGGTGGAGCATGGGTCAACTTAGACAAGGAAGTCATCCCGGAATCCACTATTGATAAGGCGACTGGAAAATACCGTAACTTCCTTCTTGGGGACATGGCGGTTGACTAGGGGCGCGAGCTTCCAAATCATGTGGAGCCCAGTGCCAGCCCGACCAGCTCACAACCAGTCCACTGCCCATGAGATGGCCTCAGCCTGCCAGCAGCACTTCCAAGGTTTCTTAGTGAGGACTTCTCCTTGGCAAAGATCCTTAGGATGGAGTTCTTCAATTCTGTTCGCCGCTTGCCTGTTGTCTTCGATGTTCCATCACGTTCAAGGACTAAGATGACTAAGGCATACTTAGGCTCCAGTGGCTGGAGTGGCTGTAGTGGTTTGACCAGCATTCGAGCCACTCTAAAACTATCACGATTCGAAGCGAAGACTTTGCTCTCTGGCAGCCGTACGCTGCTACATGTCAGGATTGATGTACCCAGAGAAAATGTGTGAGAATTGGATCAGGTCTTTTGGACACCGGTGTGCTCTCAGCCCTTTGCTTCGCACTGCTGGGTCTACGACTTCCATTGGACCTTCAGTAGCTTGGAAAGAACCTGAAAGAACCTATTGGTTGGTGGAGATCCCAAAAAAGTCCTTGGTGCCTGGATTCGTATAGAGGAGAGAGATAGAGAGAGAGGGACACACACACACACACACGTATACATATACACGCATATATATATATATATAAATTATATAGTTATATTTGCATTATATACTGTACATACACATTCAAACAGACATACGCACGCAAATACATGTGTCTTTGTGCAGATGCATGCGCGCACGCGTATATGCATTTCAACACACGCACACACACAGATAGATAGATAGATAGATAGATAGATAGATAGATAGATATATATATATATAGACACAGTATATATATAGATATTATAGTAAGGACACCATAAAAATCTCCAGTCTGATTTGACCTCTCGTGATAGGGGCGCTGGTCATTACGATGACCCCTTTAGTTCGCTAATGATTTTGTCATCATGTTTCCCTTTGCTTCGAAGGCGATTGGACAGATGCATGTGGAGCTTGGCAGAGTGCTGGTGGCGCCAACACATCCGAGCCAGACGCGACGGGGTGTTCCCCGGCTGTAGAATGTGGGCATGGGGGCAGGCAATTTAGGTAATAAAGCGGAAAGACAGATGCATAGCACATGCACCTTGTCTTGGCCTTGTACTCAAGTTGTCTCAAAACCAGCATGGGTTGTTGCCGAACATGGCATGGATGGGCATGGATGGGCATGGATGGGCATGGATGGGCATGGATGTCTAGCAGCACACTGAGTTCCACGAACATGTTCCCTGCCAGTTCCTCGAGCGCTGGATTTGCCCTTGGCAGAGATCACCCTACAGAAACTTGCCACATGTTGTAATGTTGTAATCATTTCAATGTGCTCATTGGTCCACTGGTCTACCCAGATTCGCACGATCAAACATCGAACAAAAAACCTGCCCATTCTGCCTCAATTCAGGGACTTCCCTGACATGGGAACTACCCACTATGCCGCATAACCTGGCAGTGTGGTCGCGACTTTAAGCACTTTGGCCCTTGCCGTGCCTAAGGCTAAACACCTTCAAGGGCTCGGGAGAAATCTCTGGAAAGCATCTTGCAGAGCATCTTGGCACTTTCCCCTCAATGGATTTGATCCCACTCTTGAACTACAACATGAAATGCGACAAGTTTCTTCAGGCTGTGAAAGGAAACCATCATGATCTAAAATGTAGTCTTGCAGACTTGCAGTGTCTCGCACGGTGCGATGTTTGTTTCTTTTCTACGGGAGGCGGGGTGAGACGCATAGGACAAACAATTGCCTCGCCGGCTATCGCCAAGATTTTGCTTACCTCTAAGCTACAAATCTTTCAGCAATCTTCAGGATCATTCTCAGCGGTGTGGCTGCTAAGGCTCATCGGCAGCGTAGAAGATTTGCATGAGCTCTTCTTCTCTGCTTTTCGGCCTGATGGTCACGGATCCGACGGGGCCATCTACTGGGTTCTTGTGGGGCTGAGGAGACAGTGGCAGGTTGGCGAGTGTATCTTGGGTAGGCATGATTTGCCTGTATGTCCACTAATGGTTGCCCATAGCTTGGATGAATTCTGGCCACTCTCGTGTTGCGCGAAAGGAATCAGAAGTAACTGGAGCAAAACGTGTTCAATTTCAGGGCAAGTATGTAGGATTGAGCAACATCATAAAGGACGAGCCCTGCCCCAACGTAGTTGTGACTGTAAGCCTTTTGCAGCTTTTGTGCACTGGCAGCACTCGCGGATATGCTACGAGGGACAGCCGTAATTTTCCTGATATTCCCAAGATATGCCGAGATCGTTGCACCCGCATTGCCTGGTTGAATTTATGTGAGAAGTGTTGCCTCCAGAAAATGCATCTTTATACGTTTGGGATCATTTGGATCTTGTAGTTGAGGGCCGGCAAGCATGCACCGAACATTCAGATAGCTTTGCGGGGGACGTTGTGCTTTACATTTTCCAACCATGCAATTCACAGCCAGCACCGTGTGATCCGAGACGGTGATTCTGCACTGGAATCTTCATGCTCCGCTTCCACAGTCGCAACGGCTCACGGCCTCGGACTGGATTGTGGCTCGCCCAGACATGCAAAGGGATGGAAGCATATTGTGGTTTGATGGCATGTGTTAGATTTGCACAAGTCTGTATGATAATGAATATTCATGAATATTCAATAATATTCATGATATTTCATGATGTGGTCCGAGTCGTTTGAGATGTTTGAGTTCTAAATCTGTTGCAACTTCCTTGGGGTCTCCCCGGTATGGACAGGGGGTTTGGTTGGCTCAGTGGTGATCGGGATCGCCGCAGCAGGAAGCCAAACTAGTCACCACAGTAGTCTTTCCAAAACACACTTTCACTGTGATCTTCAACCTCTGCCATAAATAATATAATATATTTCAGCTGTATTTTAGGCACTTCTCGGGTTTTGAGACGTGCCCATGTTCTTCCAATGCTCTTCCAGAACCCAGGTGCCCACAAAGCTTCCCTCACCGGATGCTAAGGAGATGCATCGCGTCGGAGGTGTTCAGCTTCTTGGTTGAAGGGAAGCCCCTCTCTTGTTAAATGGTTTTACCTTTTCTTGTTCTTGTTCCTCGTCCCGTTCCTGTTCCCCTTGTCGTTGTGGTTGGTTGTTGTTGATTGTGGTTGGTTGTGGTTGTAGTCGGTCGTGGTTGTGGTTCGTTGTAGTTGGTAGTGGTTGGTGGTGGTTGGGTTCGTTTTTTTGTGGTTGTGGTTGTGGTTGTGGTTGTTGTTGTTATTGCTGTTGCTGTTGCTGTTGCTGTTGGTGTTGTTGTTGTTGTTGTTGTTGTTGTTGGTTGTTGCTTGTCGCTGGTTGCTTGTTGCTTGTTGGTGGTTGTTTTTGTTTTTTGTTTTTGTTTTTTTTGTTGTTGTGGTTGTGGTTGTTGTTGTCGTTGTGGTTGTGGTTGTGGTTGTCGTTGTTGTTGCTGCTGCTGCTGTTGCTGCTGGTGCTGTTGTTGTGGTTGTGATGGTCGTCGTCGTCCTTGTCGCTGTCCTTGTTTATGTAACAGCCTCCATGTTTGTTAAGGATTGTCCGGGAAGAAGTGCTGTCTCCGATCTATGAGGTGCAAAGGGTTTGTTTGGTCGGGCCGGGTATTCACTAGGCAGAGCTTCAAGATTTCGACCAGGCGTCTAGGTCGAAGTCGAAGTCATCGTTACAAGACATGAGAAGTCAGGGAATGAACTCACGTGGCAACATTGCTTCATTCGGTCCACAGGGCGAAGCTAGACTACATGAAGTATGCCCCATGTTTAGCCACCAGGTGCTTGCTAAAGCTCCTTTGGATCCGTTGCTGCTTGGGCCTTCACCAGGCTGCCAGTTGGGCAAAGCCTGGGCAATCATGGGCCGAAAACATGGAATTCTAACTCTTCCGAGTGTCCTTGTTCCTTGCATGTATCAGAATAATATGATCACATAAATTCACATAGTATATATATAGAGAAATCTGTTGGATGTGTTATTGTGTAAACATGTTGACGTACTCCTTGGTGTAGCGTTTCACACCTTGCACAAATTCTGAGATATTGGGCGTCTTCAGCCATCCTGTTTTGCTGACGACTCGCAACAGATCACAGGAGATGAGCGTGTGGAAGGACCTGCCGCTAGATCGCTTTGCGGATCTGAGGCCGACGCGAGGGTTTTCCACGTCGCTAACCTAAGATGTGAATGGAACACAATGGAACATTCCCATGTTTGAGGAAAACAAATACGACGAACGACTAAGATCCTTTTCAGAAACTTTCTGACTCGACCCAAGGCTGAAATTCACCCACATCAGCATGGCCCCTCTGCTTCGCTTTGTCGTCTCATCCTTCGTCAGGCAACATTGGAGGGCTGGGCATCAGTCCAGGGAGATGGCTTGCAGATGGGCCTGGAGGACCCTCTACAGCTTCCATTGCACAATGGCCTCGAAGAAAACATCAGCAGTTTATGTCACTGGGTGGGATGTGAGTGCCTGGCAGGAACAGGAGAAGGGTATAGAAGCGTTGTCAAGAAGTTGGGGTTTGTGAGAGGTTTTGGTGCATAAGTGTGGTTTCCGCTAAGACTATTTGACCGTGCATTAAATCCTGTCATGTCATGGAACAAAAAACTGTGTCACCCTCCGCGGGCCTGGCTTCATAGTTCACGAGTTCCATTAGCCGAAGGAAGTTTAGAAGTCAAGCTTCCGACGATATGGACAGATGAAAAGCAGGGGAAGAGTCAGAGAAGAGAAGAGAAGAAGAAAGAAGACCAAAAAAGAGAAAGTCTCAGAAGAAAGAAGACCCAGGTGCGCGAAAAGGTAGGAAAGTCGCGAAACAATGTGTTTTTCCAATGATTTGTCGCTCCGGAGGGTCGAAAAGTAGGCTCGCTAAAGCCGCAGGTGCGGAGCCAGTTGGCTAGATGAAAGATGAACAATTGCACGCCGTTGTGGCGCGAAGCGCATCTCCAAGTCAAAATGTACAAAGCACACCATGTTCGGACCACTTTTGGAAGTTGTGATGTTAAAAAAGTGCACGCCGTTGTGGCGCGAAGCACATTTCCAAGTCAAAATGTACAAAGCACACGAGCACTTTTGGAAGTTGTGATGTCGAAAAAGTTCACGCCGTTGTGGCGCGAAGCACATTTCCAAGCCAAAATGTACAAGACACACCAGGTTCGGACCACTTTTGGAAGTTGCGATGTTGAAAAAGTGCACGCCCTTGTGGCGCATTTCCAAGTCGAAATGTACAAAGCACACCACGTTCAGACCGCTTTTGGAAGTTGAGATGTCGAAAAAGTGCACGCCGTTGTGGCGCGAAGCACATTTCGAGGTGAAAATGTTCAAAGCACCAAATGCTCGGACCACTTTTGGACGTTCAGATGTCGATTCGCGTGGCAGGCACAAGGGATTGTGCACTTTCTCAAAAGTGAGCAAAACGTGAGGGTTTTGTAGCATTTCCAAAAACGATGGCAGGCGTAGGGCATTTGAAGAGGATCAGCAAGATGCATTTTCCGTGGCAGGCGCAGTACAAGAGACATGTTCATCAGAGATGTTAGGAGGTCAGGGCGCTGATTTCCTGAGAGGGGTTGCATTTTGGAGCATCAAATCTGTCGGTTTGCTAAGATGATTTTGCGTGACAGGTGCAGCACTTCGTATGACCTGGCATCACTTTTTCGTGGCAGGCGCAGTACTTTAGACAGGTGGAGTGGAAAAGTCGCAAAACGCACTGGTATGAGGCCAAGGCCCTCTGCACTCAACTTTCCATTTTTGAAGGAAGTCTCGCAGAATTGTTTCGTTTTTGATGTTGCCAACTTGCAAAATTGAGGAAGTCTCGCGGGCTTGTTTCGTTTTTGACGTCGTCCAAAAATTGAGGAAGTCTCGCAGAATTGTTTCGTTTTTGACGTTGTCAAGTTCAAAAATTGAGGAAGTCTCGCAAAATTGCTGCGTTTTCAAGCTTGCAGATAGACAGATAGATAGATTCGATAGAACAACTGCAACTACAACTGCAAGCACCACCAAACTACACTAGTACTACAACTACAAGTACAGATATACTAGGCTACATTACACAACACTAGTTACACTACACCACACTAATTACACTACACCACACTAATTACATCTAATTACATCTAATTACATCTAATTAAATCTAATTACATCTAATTACATCTAATTACATCTAATTACACTACACTACGCTACACTACGATACACTACGCTACACTACGCTACACTACGCAACACTACGCAACACTACGCTACACTACGCTACACTACGCTACACTAAGCTACACTACGCTACACTACGCTACACTACACTACACCACACTACACTACACTACACTACACTACGCTACGCTACGCTACGCTACACTACACTACACTACACTAATTACACCACAACTACTACAGCAGCAGCAACAACAACAACAACTACTAATACTACTCCTCCTACTACTCCTACTACTCCTACTACTCCTACTGCTCCTACTACTCCTGCTACTCCTACTCCTACTACTCCTACTACTCCTACTACTCTCCACTCCTACTACTCCTCCTACTCCTACTACTCCTACTACTCCTACTACTCCTACTACTCCTACTACTACTACTCCTACTACTACTACTCCTACTACTCCTACTACTCCTACTACTCCTACTACTCCTACTACTCCTACTACTCCTACTACTCCTACTACTCCTACTACTCCTACTGCTCCTCCTACTCCTGCTACTCCTACTGCTCCTACTACTCCTACTACTCCTACTACTCCTACTACTCCTACTACTCCTACTACTCCTACTCCTCCTACTCCTCCTACTCCTCCTACTCCTACTACTCCTACTCCTACCGCTACTGCTACCACCACCACCAGCAGCACCAGCAGCACCAGCAGCACCAGCAGCACCAGCACCAAAACCCCCACCCCCACCACCACCACCAGCCACCGCCACCGCCCCCCCCGCCCCCCCGCCGCGCCACCCACGCCGCCACCGCCCCGCCACCACCACCACCACCACCACAGCTACAACTACAATTGCAGCTACACTACATTACACTACAATACACTAATTAAACTGCAGCACATTACAGCCACACATGCAAATACAACTACAACTACACTACATTACACAACACTACATTACCGGTACACTAATTACATTACATCACACTACAACTGCAACTACCACTACATTGCACTACACGACAAACTACAGCTACGCTGCTTTACACTACAACACACTAGGCTACACTACACTATACCACGCTACAGTACACAACGCTACAGTACACTACAATACACTACACTAATTACATCCTTCTTGATTGAAGCTCTATGGAATGGAAGAACCCATGTCCCGTATGAAATGGAAAACCAGGATCTTTTTATAAACGGGAAATTTAGAAAATTGAGAAAAAACTTTAAATTTTGGTGCCATGTTGGACCATCCATTTTATACAAGGGGGTGATAAATCCATTTTATAAAGAGGCATTTTTCTTTGGACTCATTAGCTGCAAATTCGGCGTTTTCCAAAATATAAATGTTATTTGTTTATTCCCACATCTTTGTGTGGGGTTCTTGTTTTTGGTTGTGCACTTCCGCCTGCCCGCTCCCGCTCCCGCCCGCCGCCCACACACAACTTACTCACACACACACAACTTGCTCACACACAACTTGTCCACACACAACTTACTCACACACAACTTGCTCACACACACACAACTTGTCCCCACACAACTTACTCACACACAACTTGTCACACACAACTTGCTCACACACACACACATTGTCCACACACAACTTGCTCACACAAAACTTACTTGCACGTAATTTCTCCACACACACCTTGTCCACACACAACTTGCTCACACACAACTTGCTCACACACCACCTACTCACACACAACTTGTCCACACACAACTTACTCACACACAACTTGCTCACACACACACAACTTGCTCCAACACAACTTACTTACACATAACTTCTCCACACACAACTTGTCCAGACACAACTTGCTCACACACAACTTGCTCACACACACACACACAACTTGCTCCAACACAACTTACTTACACATAACTTCTCCACACACAACTTGTCCAGACACAACTTGCTCACACACAACTTGCTCACACACACCACTTGGCGACATCGACCGTCACTTTGCGTGGTAGGCGTGGCACTTGGTGACATCGACGTGCGCTTTGCGTGGCAGGCGTGGCACTTCTGGCACTGGACTGGCTCTGGTGGCGCGCTTGGGTCCCAGTTGATGCCGTGGACGCCGCGGCTGTTTGCGTGCCAGCCGTGGCACTTGGCGACATTGACCTTGGCACTTGGTGACATCGACCTTCACTTTGCATGGCAGGCGTGGCACTTAAGGCACTGGATTGGCTTTGGTGGCGCGCTTGGGTCCCAGTTGACGCCGTGGACGTGGCAGGCGTGGCACTTGGCGACATTGACCTTCACTTTGTGTAGCAGGCGTGGCACTTGCTGGACATCGACTTTCACTTTGCGTGGCAGGCGTGGCACTTGGCGACATTGACCTTCACTTTGTGTGGCAGGCGTGGCACTTGGTGACATCGACCTTCACTTTGCGCAGGCGTGGCACTTCTGGCACTGGACTGGCTCTGGTGGCGCGCTTGGGTCCCAGTTGACGCCGTGGACGCCGCGGCTGTTTGCGTGGCAGGCGTGGCGCTTGGCGACATTGACCTTCACTTTGAGTGGCAGGCGTGGCACTTGGTGACATCGACCTTCACTTTGCGTGGCAAGCGTGGCACTGGGTGACATCGACCTTCACTTTGCGTGGCAGGCGTGGCACTTGGTGACATCGACGTGCGCTTTGCGTGGCAGGCGTGGCACTTATGGCATTGGACTGGCTCTGGAGGCGCGCTTGGGTCCCAGTTGACGCCGTGGACGCCGCGACTGTTTGCGTGGCAGGCGTCGCACTTGGCGACATTGACCTTCACTTTGTGTGGCAGGCGTGGCACTTGGTGACATCGACCTTCACTTTGCGTGGCAGGCGTGGCACTTCTGGCACTGGACTGGCTCTGGTGGCGCGCTTGGGTCCCAGTTGACGCCGTGGACGTGGCAGGCGTGGCACTTGGCGACATTGACCTTCACTTTGCGTAGCAGGCGTGGCACTTGGCGGCATTGACCTTAACTTTGCGTGGCAGGCGTGGCACTTGGTGACATCGACCTTCACTTTGCGTGGCAAGTGTGGCACTTGGTGACATCGACCTTCACTTTGTGTGGCAGGTGTGGCACTTGGTGACATCGACGCGCGCTTTGCGTGGCAGGCGTGGCACTTATGGAAACTCTTGCTTCGCCAGCTCACCAACGACTCATGATTCACTGCGCAAGTTAGTTGTTCATGCGTGCTGTTGCTGTCTGACTTGCCTGACTTGCCAGGTACCTCTGCGCAGCTCGTACATACATACATGCATGCAAACATTCATACATACACACATACATACATACATGCATGCATGCATGCATACATGCATACATACATACATGCATACATCCATACATACATACATGCATGCATACATACATGCACACATACACACATACACACATACACACATACACACATACACACATACACATACACACACATATACATACATACATACATACATACATACATATACATACATACATACATACATAGATTCATACATACATACATACATACATACACATACATACGTACGTACATACATACATACGTACATACATACATACGTACACGCATACATACACACATACATACATACATACATACATGCTTACATGCATGCATGCATACATACCAATTTTGTCACACTTTGTCACACGCCATCTTTAAAGACAACTTTGTCCCACACAACTGTTTTTACTTCTCGATCCTTCACCACCTTCTTTGTCTTTCCTTCCTTCCCCGTCCCGCTACAACATTTGTTGCTCATTATTGGAAGAAGTTGGCATGTGGGGTTGTCCGGTCCTTTATTTTTTTTAAAATATGTGGTCTGGAAAATGGTTTCCATAGTATAAAAGTTGGAAGGTTGGATGGGGAAACGCTAACTTTGTTCAGTATTGATATGTCCAGGATATAGATTTCCCTTTTATAGAACATCAATCAGGGTGCGTATCCATCAATCAAGGGGGATGTTTGATCATGTTTGATATATTTTAGTCTATGTTGATATATTTTTGCATTATTTTGTGCAAAAAACGGGACTAAACACGCAGAGAATGCTCAAACACCCGTGCTCAATCAACAGTCTTAAGCCATGGCTTGCCAGCCCGCATTTTGGTTTATAAAACGGATACAGTAATCTTCTAATATTTCTCCATGTCGTGTTTCAAATGCTGAAATTTTCCATTTTATAAACCGCCCATGGAGCAACAATTAGAAAGATATTTGCCCCCATTAAGGTATATAACATGGATAATCTTCTCATGTTTTTGGATTTCGTTTTTAAATACGGGACTTTTCCATTTTATAAACCACCCATGGAGCAACAGTTAGACATATTTACCCCGCATTTTGGTGTATAAAATGGATAATCGTCTAATGTTTCTAGATTTTGTGTTTCAAATATTGGATTTTTCCATTTTATAAGCCACCTATGGAGCAACAGTTATATAGACGGATTTACCCCACATTTTGCTGTATAAAATGGATACTCTTCTAATGTTGTTGGATTTCGTGTTTCAAATACTGGATTGTCCTGTATAAACCACCCATGGAGCAACAATTAGAAAGGTTTACCGCCATTTTGGTATACAAAATGGGATAATCTTCTAATGTTTCTGGATTTCGTGTTTCAAATATTGGATTTTTCATGATTTTTCCATTTTATAAACCAACCATGGAGTAACACTTAGGCAGATTTACCGCACATTTTGCTGTATAAAAATGGATGCTCTTCTAATGTTGTCGGATTTCGTGTTTCAACTATTGGATTTTTCCATTTTATAAACCACCCATGCAGCAACAGTTAGACGGAATTACCCCACATTTTGCTGTATAAAATGGATAATCTTCTAATGTTTCTGGACTTCGTGTTTCAAATACTGGATTTTTCCATTTTATAAGCCACCCATGGAGCAACAGTTAGACGGAATTGCCCCACATTTTGGTGCATAAAATGGATAATCTGCTAATGTTTCTGGATTTCGTGTTTTAAATACTGGACTTTTCCATTTTATAAACCACCTGTTCCGCCTGCAGAGGCAGAGCTCACATTGCACATTTTCGTGTAAAATCTACCTAGGAAACGTTGGCCATGTAACTGTATAAACATATACCTAGGAAAGCGTTGGCCATGTAACTGTCCCAAAATCTACGTGGGAAACGTTGGCCATGTAACTGTCCCAGAATCTATGTGGTAAAGCGTTGGCCATGTAACTGTATAAAAATATACCTAGGAAAGCGTTGGCTATGTAGTTGTCCAAAAATCTACCTGGGAAACGTTGGCCATGTAACTGTCCCAAAATCTACCTGGTAAAGCGTTGGCCATGTAATTGTCCAAAAATCCACCTAGGGAATGTTGGTGAAATCTGACATACACCCATTTTGGGTTTTTGAAATTCATTGGTAGCACCTGACAGCAATTCCATTTGATAAAAGGAGAACTTTACATCAGACCTATGTTGTTTATAAAATTGATGTTCCAAATGTAATAGCATGTCTTGACTTTAGCAATAATTTTGCCTTAAGATATCTTAAAGTGACCCCCTCAAGATGCGACCCGTTCCATTCCATATAAATTCAATTTTCCATCTTTCAACATCTAATTTCTGCTTCATTTCCATAACATAGTGGGAAAACATATCCGGTCTGCTAGGTAGTACAATTGTGGTATTCCAAAACATATAAACCCAAAAAAGGATCCATTCTATAAAGATATACCCGTACCCAACCATTACATAAACCATATTTTTATGGAATGGTTGGGTCAGGGTACCTACCCATCAATCAAGGGGGATCTAATTACACCACAAGTACAACTGCAACTGTAACTCCACTAATTACACTAATTACGCTACATTACAACTACAGCTTACAACTACAACTCCACTACACTACAACTACAACTACACCTACAACTACAACTACAACTACAACTGCGCTACACCACTCTACATCCAGCAGTTGTGGTGAGGTGACCGCTGCCACCATTGCAGCCACTCCAGAAAGCACAACTTCAACCACCTTTCGGTCCATCAGTGGATTCGCTCTGCCGTCCGTGAGCCACAACAACCAACCCTTCCTATAGGTTTCCTATTTTTGAAACTTCCGCCACCGCCTTGTGCGGCACTACTGGTATTTATGCATTTATGCATTAGTAATCTTTGATCAAAGCGACTTTTTTCCATTGCGTTTTCGCAGTCCGGCGCCAGCCTGATGCAGGAAACTTTGGTGACTCTATACCCCCAACATGTCACAGAAATACACGACATAGACTTGTGACTTGTACCACGGAGGTTGTCGATCTATAGAGGAAGCGAGACATCCGCAGTGGTGGGGTTCCCCAATGATTCCACCCAAAGCTGAGGTGAGGGTACATTTTCAGGCCGCCGGCCGAAACGGCCCAGTCATGCTGTGCAGGTGCGGATGGTTTCGCCAAGGGGAGTGGTTGGAGCATTGATCTATGTAGATAGCCCCAAGGTGAAAAGAACAAACTGGGATAGAATTCTGAACTTTATCGTTGGCAGCGATTGTAATAATTACACTTGACTTCATCAATTTGTTCCGCTCGGCCGGGAAATGGAGGTCCAGATGCTGTGTTTTCGCAGTTTTTTTGCTGATTTGTTCAGCCATAATTGGCCATATCCTTGATCGGGCCACAATAAATCACATACCTTTCCCTTGCAGGTGCTGGCGGCCCCCACGCCACGCAGAGAAGCTGTTCCTTGAAAGCAGGAGGAAGCGCAACCTGTGCAACCACAAACGCTGAATCAGTTCACTGAGATGGTTTCGTGGAATTGCTTCATTATGCTTCATTGCAATTGTTCTCCTCACTCATGAATGCAGTCATTGAGCCAGGCGGCTTTGCATTGCCCCTGCTGTAAACTGTCCTAGGGTTCTCCATGGGTTGTTCTAAAGGAAACCCCGAGCTGACTTTGAGGATCTTAAGGGTTGCTGCAGATACAAAACCCCAGCAGGGATTATTCGCTCGTTGCCGGCGTGCCTTTTTGAGGCTTGGCTCACCTTCTGCAATGATTCCCTATTACTACTTTCTTTGGGTCCCACGCACTGTCCCTTCGCATTCCTGAAGTTGAAGGAGGTGAGCGAGTGGAGCCAGCCATGCTGTTTGGTCATATTTTTCCATAAACTAAGAATTGGATAAACATGACTCCTGACTCGATGTCCTGTTTGAAAACGCTTGGAAAGTGCTGGAATGCGAATTTGAAAACACACTTGTATAGATGAGAATAGCGTCATGAATTTGTTCACACAAGAAAGTGAATTGCATTGTCTCCACGCATTTGGCTTCCTTCTTGTCCCAAACCCAACCTTGGATCCCCGTGCAGGTCAAATTGGCCGATGTGGACCCTGGTCGAGCCTTGCTGCTCGTCTTTGCAGGCCAAAGTTTGCAACAGGTCTACCGTGTCTTACAGGTGGCCTTGTGACAACTGCTTCACCCTTCAACTAGAGTCTACTTGCCTCCGAATGTCCGGTTTCTTGTTCTCAGGCACTTAACGCATCCTAATTTTATGCGCTACCCATTGGCATAGACCACAGATACCGCGCGCCCAGGTTGTCTTTGAACGGCAGCTCTGAGAGGTCCGGAGGGTGGAATCTAGAACCCATGGGTCGGATAGATATATAGATATATAGATATATAGATATATAGATATATAGATATATATATAGATTATATCATTATATAGATTATATAGATTATATAAATTATATAGATTATATAAATTATATAGATTATATAGATTATATAGATTATAGATATATATGGATATATATATATAGATATATATATAGATATATAGATATATAGATATAGATATAGATACATACACACACACACATACATACATACATACATACGTACGTACGTACGTACGTACATACATGCATATATATATATATGCACATGTATATAGATAGATGGAACAAACCGCGATGAAACTCCCCATTTTGGCGGAAAAGTAGATGAAAGGCAGGCCGTAGGCCTACAACTTGACTGCAAGATGATGCACTTTGCCAGGGGCAGGGTGGAACTGGTTCTACTTTTGCCAGATGGACGTTGGCATACTTGTTCTATGCACGCGTTTCTTGGCAACTGGACATGATTTGACGGACGGGCAACCAATAACCTGACCAAGGGACTGACCCAGTGATGGCTCTTTTGGCAAATCTTCACATTGGTTTTGGTCAGGGCTTTCAAGGTCGGAGAGAGATATGTTCAATGTATCAGAAAGGTCCAGCGGAAAGCTAAGAATTTGTCCCACTGCCAAGGCTGGTGATCCAAGTCTTGGACGTGACTCTTGGCATCTTTTGGCATCTCTTAGCATCTCTTAGCTATGGTCAATGCCAGTCTTTGTCCGCGGCCCCATATTGTGCATCACTGTGCAGCCGAGGAGTCAACTGAAGAACTGGGTCTTAAGCTTTGCTCCAGCTGCAGGTCCAACTTGGCCAACCAAAAACAAAACAGTTTTGCCGTTTTGCCAGGTTCCCTCGAGTGTACTTGAGCTGTATGCTTCTGCATGCTTCTGCAATTGCCTGGGCTTGCCGAGTTCGGGGTAGCTGATTTGAAACCTCACACTATGTCCTGAAAATGAGATATAATGAGTATATTTACAGGAGTTTCCATCAATTCAATTGCAGTGGGTTTGCCTTTCTTGGACAGCGAGACCGATTGCTTCCACGCATAGGTGCGTCCAAATCTCTCCTTCAAATCTGAGATGATGAACTGTCCAGCTTGATTGGAAATGGAACTGCAAAGAGCAGATCTTTGTCCTTTGATTCCGCAAACACTGTCGATATGCGATTTTCAAGTTTGAAAAATAGTCTTTTCTTGATTATCACCTTGATGCTCTCCCTCTTCCATATCCGCGGAATGACTGTGGCCGGGCTGATGTGCTCTGCAGACAGATCTATGGTTTCCCTTCTCCTGCGTCCTGCACACCTGCAGAAAATAGTGAGTGCAGGTGGTGGGACATTGGATTGAGGTATTTGAGGTTCTTGTCATGATGAGATGATATCGTCAATCGCGGTATCCAATGCAACTCCCGCTTTGTGACGAAGTTAGCCTGTCCAAACCCACCCAAATTCAAATGGCCTATTGATGTAAGATGATCTAGAAGCATTCTGTAGATTTGAGGCCCTCATACACCCCCCCAATGAACAGTTGCAATTCATTGTCCATTTGCCCCATGGAAAAGATGGAAAAGTTGCACCCGCTGCATTCTGATCCATTGCCAGGCCCTGATGGAGTCACTGGGCCCCTTGTTGGAAGGCGACTTGCAACAGGTCAGGGCTCTTTGGCACCTTGACACCTGCTGTGGGACCCATGGACTGCCAGTGGAGCTCCAAATCGGAGAAGCAGTCTTGCCTGCGGTGAATTAAGTATATATATATATTAACATATATTATGTCCATGTATGTTCATGTCATGGAAGTGTCTTGTGCATGTTGATGCATTTGCCCCAAGTTGACAATACCCATTCTAGAGTGACGGTCGCCGCTGCCGCAGCCTCTGATGGCTCACTTGTGCAGTTGAGCACACTTGACTTGGACACGGAAAAAGCATACATGACATGGCCTTGAATCAGCTAAGGAGTCGTGAGTCATACTGATCATAATGGAGAGTGCCTGCTTCAGAAGATTGCATTCACTGCCCTCCCCGCAAGTGCAATGGGTGCAAACCAAGACCTCACACTCTTCCTGGGCAAGAACGGTGCTCACGCATTCAATCGGAAATAAGATTATTTATTAATCATGAAGGGTGCTCCACTGTAGCAATTCCATGCAATTCCCCCCTCTTCTTTTGCAACCCGTTCTCTCCGTAGTTTAAGCCACTCATTCTCGGACCCAAATTCATAGATTCCAACAAACTCAGACTCAAGGGACACTTGTTTCGCACCCTCCTCTACCATGAACTAGCATACTTGTAGCTGGCATACTGTAGCTCCCAATGAAAACCTTCTCGATTCTCTCACCCCTGAGATCATCAAAGTTATAAGTTGGTTTATATTACTAACTATATCTATCCACCAATAACCTATGGCCCATAGATAACTGAGCTATAAACCAACGTAGATATCTAGGGGGCCCCACCACCAGCCATGGCACCATGTCAGCCTAGAATCCAACCAAAAATTCACGGTGAAAACAGTTTTGAAGTTGTCAAAGTCTCGCTTACTCTGGCCTCCGGGCAGCTCTTTGTTCGCTGCGCGGGGCACTGCGAGCGTCGGTCCCATGCAGTGTGGCGCTCAGATCGTTGGGATGGCTGTTGATGGCTGTTGATGGCTGTTGTATCCTGGGCCGGCAATTTCCATCCATTTCCAGCTTACAATGCAGCACAGTTAGGATAATCCAAGTTACCCGTACCTAACCGTCATGATCCAAATTAATAAAGCTCAGGTTTAGAATTACTGGTATGGTAAATCAAAACATATTGACACCGGATTTCAGTATCCAACCCCAGTATACAGTCTAATACAATCTATTGATATCAGCGCAGCCCGAGTTCCTGAGGCACTTGGTGGGACTGCTGGCTGCTGCCTTGTTTGCATTGCTGAGCGCTTGGTGGCTCTGGACTGAGGCTCGACCAGCCCCTGGTAGGTTAGGACGGTTAGGATGTCACACTAGTTGATAGCAGCATAATCCGGCACATGCTGGCACAACAATCCAATTCCCACTTAAAGATCTTAAAGAAATTTCAGATGTGGATGAAATACATTAACAGATTATATAATTATATATATAATATTGTATCAATGCGCATTGGGTTTGAGGGCAATACAGAACATGCACTAACATCCTGGAGTTTTTTGTTGAACACGTTCTCGCAGTGAGTTCTGTGAATGATCAATTTTTAATTCAATTGTAAGTACAGGAATTACACCCGTTACACCACCAAGAAGCCGTAGGACAACCACAGCCGAGTTAAGGGACTGCGGTTTACATTTCAGGTACCCAGTGAGGACTATGTTCTGCTGGCAGAGGACGAACGGCTGGCCCGCTTCTCGCGGCAATGCTCAGCTGAGGTCGGGTGGCTCAGAAAGTGGCTGGGGCTGTCTCGTCTCCTGTGACCATGGTCCATCTTTAAAGCTTCATCTAAAGTAATTAATCACAATCCAACATAGATCCATATGGTATACCGGTATAAAGTATATATACAGTATACCTCAACATGGGTATATATGTGCTTGAAATATCTCGAAATTGGTTTCCCCCAAGTCATCACTGAGTCATCCATGAATTTGTGGTCATTTCATGGTCATTTCATGATCATTTGAGGTGCTTTTCGGAGTGGAAACAGATCCCCCGAGGGGGTCGCAGTCCAAGGTTCTGCTGCCTGAGGACGAACCAAAAGGCTGGTCCAATTGGTCCATGCACAGTGCTGTGGTCTTGCTGCTGCATGGGGAGGTGAGCCCTCTCCATGGCTGGCCAAAGGACACCTTGATCTGAACCGTGAACCATGAACCATCCTAACCATCCATGGTAATCATGGGGTTTGCAAGCAGGAATAGTAAGGACATGCAAGGCATGCAAGGACCCGATCAAATGATATCAAATGAAATCCTTGGCTATCTTTCACATTACATGGTACGGCTTGGTGACCTTGGTGACTATCGTATTTGGATGTAGTTGATACAGCCCAACCTGGTGGAAGGATCCAAGACCCCCACCGAGTTGGGATTGCCGCCCGGCGGATCTACCCCGACATTGGCGAATCAACAGCCGGGTCCACTTCCAAGTCGTGGCAGAGGACGGAGAGTTGCTGGAGAGGCTAGGAAAACATAGGGAAACCCGAGAAAACCCTGGTATTGCTCCATTGTGCCAGTTTAAAAATTGTTGTGTACTGGAAATCCCTAGCTTAAGAATCTTAGGGTGATCCGGGTCATGTGGAGTCCCAATCTTGAGTCTTTCGGAGGTCCTTCGATCCTGAACTGGATGCCAATGCGAAAGATTTAGATGAGCCCTGGGCCCATCGCAGCTGTGCAGCTGACCAGCTCACCGCGGACGGGTTCAAGCGCCTGATGCTAACGAGCCGGGAAAGGGGAAGTAGAGGTATACCACCATATGAGATAAGTCAACACTGGTATCTGGAGCTTCCCTTTTTGCACTGGGGGCTCCTCAGGACAAAACATGACCTTGGTCACCTGGCACCATCTAGCACCTAGGCAGGCGGTTCTCAACGGTCGGCGCTTGGCTGGCCGCTATGGCGAGACGTTGGCCTCGGCCACACTGGAGGCATACAGCCACTTGAGATCCACTTGGGTTGATTGGTTTGCCCTACGGCCAGGGATTGCTGATTTCTGTTCCGTCGTTTGGTGAATGACACGCCGCATTTATAGCTAACACATTTTATAATATCTTATGGCAATAGTCTGCAATAGTTAAAATATTGTGCTTAGCCTCGTGTAGTTGCGGGCCAAGGGCGGTGTCTTTTTGGGGAAAATCAAACAAACCTTTCGACCAGAGATCCGCAACTCCAAGGCATGGACACGAAGCCTTGCCTCACAACAGCTGTGGGCAGCTTGCTGCCGTTGTTGCCAGAGATGGAAGGAACAGTGCCTAGACTGTCTAGACTGTAGCCAACTAAAACTACAGGTGGGGACCTGGGGGGAGGATCTATAAGTACTATAAGATCAAGAGGCACTAAAGACAGCAAGCTTCGCAATTCTGCAGGACCTGCCCGCTGCTTCAGATGTGATAACGGTCTTCGGTCGCTGCCTTTCCTATTTACTACCTTCTCCATGGCCGACTCCCAAACTATATGAAACAATATCACATATACAATTGTGTTTGGCTATGAGTTCCCATCTTCAAACTTCATTCTTTTGAGACCTTAAGCCTTTTTGCAGATGTTACTTTTTAGGTGATATGGCATTTGTGTGGCATTTGATTTTCCGTAGGTTTTGCCAGGGGACATTATTTTGTGCGCATCCTTGTTTTGGCCTTCCAACAGTCAGGTTTCCATCCGAACCCTGCCCGCCACGGCAGCCAGTGTAGATGTCGCTTCTCAACTTCGGGCCAGTGACGATTTGCTGGCAAGGCAGGTCCCAAGAGCCCAAGAGACGACAAAGTTGTGTAGGAAACTCCCACCGCTGCCTGACATTTTTTTTCAGGGCAAAAAGCTAATGCATTTTTTGCCGTTACGGTAGGCGTTGGAAAAGATGGAAGAACTGGCTAGATCCAGGAACGTTAAAGGTACCTCTGTGTGGGGGTTGCACTACACCTGTTGGGGTTTCCCACCAGCTGGACAATGAAGATTCTCATCAACCAGCTGCGTATTGGCATGCGTTGGCTCTCAGGTGGTGTCACCACGGCAGCTTGCCCTGTGACACCCAGAGTTGCACTACGCCAGCCGGTGCTGCGGCTATGATGTCGCTGGCAGACAAGCACCTTTGCACCCTAGTAGATTCCAGAAACGAAGCTTGGTGAGCATGTCTAGAATCGGACAATCCAGAACCCTTCTTGTGCTTCATCTCAGCCAAAGAAGGGTTGAATCGCTCAGCTCCAGTCTCCAGTAATTCAGTAAGGCTCCACTGTTGAGGTGATGTTCTGACAGTCACAATGAAGACAAGAAATCACGAAAAGGAGCCATTGCTTTGGGCCCTGTCAGCTCAATGTCAGAAGCGAGCTAGAAATATGGCAAAGTGACGCGCGCGTGATACTGCACCGCTTTAGCTTGGCTCCCTTTGGTATCTTTAGTTCTCCATGTTTGAGGGCCATGCCCCAATTTTGCCTCACAATTCTGACCGATGTATGAGTAGCATGTCGCACCCAGGATGGCTTGGCTCAGTGGCTTCGACTTGCCGCAGGGGCCTCGTGCCTTGGGCCGACTTCAGAGCGCTGGGTAGATTCCGCCACGGACGGATCATGTCAGGTCCAAGTATATCCTAGTTTATCCAAGTTTAATTTGCTGCTTCAGGATGTTTCTTTCATGTTTGTCCATGTTCTTTCTGGTCTTTCGGGTCTTTCTCCTGCAGCCAACAGCCACCAAGGCGCTTGACCCTGCTGAGCCTAGACGTGTCGCAGCTGGCCGTGCACCTCATGAGCCTTGGCCTCACTTGCCGTGGTGCTGTGGCCGAGGGCGAGTCCATGCGGCCGCCCCGTGGCTCGATGCTGCTGCTGGAGCGATGGAGGAGGATGTCGTGGGATGTTGTGGGCAGTTGGATGGGCCGGACTATTCCAGACTCCTTTTCTCAGAAACCTTTGGCACAACTCTTTGCACATGCCATAAGTATCCATAAGTGTATATATGTGTATATCATTGTATATCTATCTCTAGAATCTTATATAATTAGTCGTATTAGACTCTTTGGAAATAAAGTTATAGTCCTAAAAGATTGTAAAATCATATCAACATAATTCGCCTGGCATTGGGTCTGCAAAGGCAGAACCGCACATAAAAGCATCCTTTAAAGAACACAACTTCTTTTCTCTCTGCGATGATGTCTGACATGCAACATGCAGCAACATGCAATTAAATGCCCATTGACTGCGTGTTGACATGGCTGGCTGTACTTGGGCTCTTGCCACACCCCTTGTCGGGTGCCAGGCACTCAGATGCCCGCTGGCGCGTTCTGTGGAACGGTGTGGATGTGAGTCAAGAGCTTCCGTGTGGATCGACTGAAGGGCTTGGCTGCCCAGAAGCGGCGCTACTTCGGATGCTGGAGGGCGACAGAGTGCCTTCCAACGGGTAATACAAATTAGAAAAGGCCGTTCTGAGGGAGGCTTGATGTGACTTGCCTGGTTCACATCGTCGTTCACGTAGGACTGGCTCTTCGGTGAGAGCACTTGGTTTCAGGAATGATTTTATGGGATGCCGAATGCCGATGTCCACTGCCCTTTTGAGATGTTTTTGTCACTGCAGCAACAGCCCAAATGAAACCCGGAGAAGTCTAGTCATTCGGCAGTTCTGCAGGAAGTGGAGACACTCTGCGACGAATTATTGGATGCTGCCGATTTTCCAAAGGACCTGCCCCGCTTCGTGCTGGATGATGGTGGCTGAACATGGAGAAGCCAACGTTGGGAATGCCATGGAATTGCATAGTGAGCCCCGCTCGAACTCGAACTCGAACTCGAACCCCCCCCCCCGGAGGGAAAAAAAAAACCTTTCCGAGTATGCATTCACGGTCAAGCTCTGAAAGACTGCGAGCTGTCAGCCGGGAAGCCAGGTGCCAGGAATTAATTTTTTCCGTATCAGATTGAGGGGGGGAGATATGGCATGTTACCAACGCAAGCATCCAGGAAATAATTTTCTTATACTTGGCTATCAGAGGGGTAAATTTATTGGATGTTGGACCTTGGGCACGGGGAAATTAGCAAAACAAATTCAAAACTCCCCCCCCGCCCCTCCGGGGCCCTCGCACGATGCCAGTTCGAACCCTCGAACTCCAACTCGAACTTCCCCCCCCCATCCCCTCCAGGGCAGACGTACGATGCCAGTTCGAACCCTCGAACTCGAACTCGAACTCGACCTCCCCCCCCCCATCCCCTCGAACGATGACAATTCGAACCCTCGAACTCGAACTACGAACTTTCCCCCCCCCCCATCCCCCCTCCGAAGCAGACGTACGATGCCAGTTCAAACTGGTATCGAACAGTTCGAACCCCCCCGGGTTAACTCGAACCCTCGAACTCGAACTCGAACTCCTCCGCCCCTCCCCCCGCCAAGATCTCGGATCCCAACCTTGGAACCAAACTCGAACTCGCAGCCCCCTCCTCTCCTGCACGCCAAAAAAAGAACCTCTCACCCCCAATCCCCTCCGGGGCCCTCCCACGATGACAGTTCGAACCCTCGCAATCGAACTCGAACTCAAACTCGACCTCCGCGCCCCCCCCGCCAACAAAAAAAAAAACTCCCGACCTAGAACTCGAACTCGAACTCGAACTCCTCCCCCCCCTCCCCTCGAACGATGACAGTTCGAACCCTCGCAACTCGACTCGAACTCGAACGTCACCCCCCCCCCGCAAAAAAAAACAAAAAAAAACTCCCGCCGACCTAGAACTCGGAACTCGAACTCGAAACTGCCCCCCCCACAGTCCCTCGATACGATGACGCTTCGAACCCTCGAACTCGACTTCGACTCGAACTCCCCCCCCCCTGCCCTCGAACGACGACAGTTCGAACCCTCGAACTCGAACTCGAACTCGAACTCCCCCCTCCCCCGCCCAACGAAAAGAAAATCTCCCGACCTCGAACTCGAACTCGCAATCGAACTCGAACTCCTCCCCCCGACCTCGAACTCGAACTCGAACCCCCCAGGTTCCCTCCCCTGGAACAATTACCCAATAGACCGAATTAGACAAAAAACTACAAAATAGATAGATCGTAAAAATCTATAGATTTCTATCTATTAGACAATTTCGATTTTATCTATTATCTTATTTTTTTCTTGCAAATAGATTATTTTTTTAAAACTATTATAGATAAATCTGTGTTTTTTTTGTCTATATAGAGAGTTTTTTTAATCTATATAGAGAAAAATCTTGAAAATAGATTAAGCTAAATTTTGTCTATTTTGTTGATCTTTCATGGTTTTGACCATGCCAAAATTCAACCGTTACCTTCGAAGTTTGCTCGTGATTCGTTCGAAGTTTAACTTCGAAGTTTATACGTAGTTTATTCGAAGTTTTTACTTTGGAATCATTTTTGTCAGTTTTTCTCAGACTAAAAACTTTCAAAACAATGAAACACACATGGTTATGTTGTATATGTGAACTTGTTCGATCTGTGTGCTTGCATACATGGCATTTGAACTTTTGGTGGCATATCTTTGGGTGGATTCATTCTGCCACAATCGAAGGTTTCACCTTCGCAAGAGGTTACTGTCACAGTAACCCTGCACTGCACAAGGAAGGTCTTGGAAGGTATTCCCCCACAATATTTTTTTAAAGATATTCCGTTATACAGCATCTCTGGGAAAACTCCTTCACACAAGTATCTCTGAAACTTTTCCCTCACAGTGAAACTCACAGGTATCTCCAGGTATTACCTCGCAGTATCTCTCTGGAAGTATTCCCTCACAGTATCTCTCTGGAAGTATTCCCTCACAGTATCTCTGAAAGTATATTTTACCTCGCAGTATCTCTCTGGAAGTATTCCCTCACAGTATCTCTGAAAGTATATTTTACCTCGCAGTATCTCTCTGGAAGTATTCCCTCACAGTATCTCTGAAGTATTCCCTCACAGTATCTCTGAAAGTATTTTTACCTCGCAGTATCTCTCTGGAAGTATTCCCTCACAGTATCTCTGAAAGTATTTTACCTCGCAGTATCTATCTGGAAGTATTCCCTCACAGTATCTCTCTGGAAGTATTCCCTCACAGTATCTCTGAAAGTATATTTTACCTCGCAGTATCTATCTGGAAGTATTCCCTCACAGTATCTCTCTGGAAGTATAACCTCACAGTATCTCTCAAAGTATTTACCTCGCAGTATCTCTCTGGAAGTACTCCCTCACAGTATACCTCTGCAACTCTGCAAATATTCCTTCACTCTGCAAAATTCCTTTTCACAGTATTGTTTGAAAAGGCTTGCCTCGCATAATATGTTTCCCAGTATATTCCCTCAGTATATCTTACCAGTAAAATTTTCAGGTATTTCTCTCAAAACATGAAACAACACCCAAGCAATCTATTTCATTTTTCCCTTAAAACGAAAACCGCTGTAAGTGTACATGTTCTGATTAAAACAGGAATAAGTTTTCTTTCCATGACAGTTGCAAGACATGGCAATATGAAACAAACAGAGATACGCTTTGAATCACCATGTCAGATGTGTCAAGCTGAGAGGTAGAAACTGTGAGAGAGACTGAGAGAGACGGCTTTCAAGTTTAAAGATGTTTAAAGAATGTTTTGAAACGTAAGTGACATTGGATCGCATTTCATTTATTCTTCTCGACATAAGCCGAAGGAGTAATGATCAAATAAGTCTCTGTTTAAAAGGTAATGTTGCAAAATTGATGCTCTGAAAACATCAGCTACTATTTCACCTGTGTCGACACTTCACCAAAAACAACGACATGTAAAAACAACAGACAATAAACTCTCATGGTAGACTCTCACAGTTGTTCATGGTGCAAGCACTCTCATAGTAAACTACCACATAGTAAATTCCCCTGGTGAACTCTCATGGTAAACTCTCATGGTAAACTCTAGAGTAAACTCTCACAGGATATATTCTCGTATAAAACATTAATAGTAAACTTTGAGTAGCAAACTCTCGTAGTGAACTCTCAGAGTTAACTGTGACAGAAAACTTTCATAGCAAACACTTATATAGTAACCTCTCAAGCCATCAGGGCCGCCAAACAAACATTCCTTTTTTCCTCTGTGTTCTTGCCAAAACGCATATGCGTCATGTCATGATGCAACACTCACGGTCTCAAAAGTCATGCTTGGTCACTCACGTCTTGTGACAAACATATTTTTTTCTGTTTTTGATGTGCTATATTATAGGAAAAATCGCAAACGTTGAAAAATGCTACAATGTTCATGCTGGTCGAATTCCAAGATGAGGTGCTTTTTGGTACACTTGCAAGAGAGACTGTGAGAGAGTTCAAATACTTTGAGAGTTTGATTGTACATGGCAAGCCTCACTTTTTACAGACTGGTCGCACATAGCTGTTTTATCGAAACACAAAGGGGCGTACTCCGTTCGTGACCTTCCACCCATGGCGTCCCAAAGTTCCTTGATGCGTTTCAAGTCCACCTGCGACGGTTGGAACCCAGCTGACTCCCAAGAAGTTCCAGATTCACAAGAAGCTGAGAAAGGTGACACGGACTCAGAGAAGACCCTTTGCCTGGATGACTTCGCAGAGACTGAGGAGAAAGAAGGTGGGCTCACCCAACAAGCTACACCTGACGACTTCAAGGAGATGAAGCCTGCCGAAGAAGTTACACCTGACCTGAGCAAGGAGACAGGAGAGTTCTTTGGGCGCAAAATGAAGGTGGCTTATGGTCCAGGGTATGGACCTGGGTCTTTGGATGGAGCCATGCTGCAAACTCTTCTGTGTGGCCTCATGGATAAGACGAGGCTGAAGAACTATGTGGGTGGATTCGAGGAGCATCTGGCTGAAGCTGCCGCATCATCGAGCCAGAAGACTCCTGATCAGACTCGTGAGAAGACTCCTGAGAAGAAGCCAGCAGGAAAGAGTGTACGCAAGAAGAAGGGAACTTCGTCCAAGGGTAAAACACCCAAGAAGTGATCTCTGAAGCAACAACAGAGTATCTCACATTTTGTTGAGCAGCAGCTTGATGAAGCTGGATTTTTTGTGATCGTGTTCATTGCCGAGAAAACAAGCGCAATGTACTGAGCAGTTTTCATACTTTGCTGGCTTACTGACTTCGAAGTGTCTAAGTAGTTTCGAACAAACTTCGACTTTGTTACATATGGCCAAACGCCATTGAGCCATTGACAAGTTTAGACCAATTTTCCTGAAATGGCAAATAGACTTGACATAGAAATGATCAGATCTAGCGCAGAGTGCCGACAGAGATTTGGAAAAAAGGTGCGTCTCACTTCTTGAACACAATCATGTACTTTGAGAACATGTCCACAGCACTTCGAAGTTTCTAAGAAGTTTCGAAGAAACTTCGAAGCTATGACTTAGAAGTTTGTTCGAAGTTTATTCGTAGTTTCCAATGAAACTTCGTACAAACTTCGAAGATATGTTGATAAAACACTGTAAATACCAATATATTTGATAATGAAACTTCGAAGTTGGACTTCGAAGTTTCCATCATAAACTTCGAAAAGTTTCGAAGAAGTTTCGAAGAAGCTTACATTTGACTTTCTGTCATTGAATTGCCCTTTCGAAGTTTCGAAGAAGTTTCGAACAAACTTCGAAGCTTACATTTGACTGCTGTTTTTGGCCACTGTCGCACAATCAACATTTTCAATCAGTTTCGTTCAGAAACTTGTCATTTGTTTTGACTCCACAAGACGTTTTCACAACTTGTCGGATCTACTAACCGCAGAATTTTCTTTCCAGCCACTTAGATACATTCATAGGTTTCGACTTCTGTGAAGAGCTGTGTGCTTGCAATGCCGGTTTTGAAACGACCATCATCGAATTCTTCGGCAATGCCCAAAAAGAAGCCAGCCAAGGAGACAATCCCAGGAACAGTTGCAAGTCTCAGGAAGGGGATTCAAAATGATGATGACAATGCTGATGGTGATGAAGGACAGCGGGACAAGTTGAAGGCTGAGAAGTGGGCAAGACTTCGTTCCACTGGCGCACTTCCGGAGTACTTGCTGCAGCTGTACGACCAGGAGTCAAAGCAATCACCGCTGGGGAAGCGGGCATTTCAAACCACAATCATAAACAAACTCTTCAAGAAGGTCAACGGTGCCTGGCAATTGGACACGAGTGACGCCCAATTCAAGGATTACAAATCTCTCTACGAGCGCCGCTACTCGAAAGAGGAGAACGAAGCGATGCCGAAATCGTTGATTGTGGGCCTCTATTATCAGGGGGACGAGCAGAAATTTAACCGAGCTTTGGAATTGGGCGAACTGCAGCATGTCAAAGATGACGGCGGTGTGCGGTTCTACTCATACAAGAAGCTCACCTCTGCAGTTGAGAAGGGCAGTGATCAGAGGCTCGAAGCCATTGGGACGAAGAAAGGCAAACTTCAAGAGTTTCATGAGATTGGGAATCTTTTGTCCAAGCTGAGCTGGACGTTTCGCAAGAAGCCAGGAGATCAGAAGGAACTTACTGCTGGGAGCCTCCCCACTAGCTACGAGGCCTTGATCAAAAAAGCACATGGAGCTTGTGACAAGTTGTCGAAGGACACGCTCAAACTTCAGAAAGAGGTGGGGCATGAGCGCAAAGAGATCATGAAGGATGGATACAAGTCCATGACTGCTCACTTGGCCACTTTGGATCACATGAAAAACTTTGTGGAAATGCCAGATGGCACGAAGCTCACCAGCACGGTTTTCGAATCAGCTCTTGGAGATATCGCTTCTTCGGTTGACCAGCTGAACACGAAGATTGAGGAGATCAAAGGCTACATGAAGTCCAAGGCCAAGTGAGTCTTGATTCAAGTCTGTGTGAGATATCCACAGAAAATTTCTCAAGGGCCTGAATACAAATGTTTGAGTATGTGTGTGAAAACCACATAAATTTTGTGTATCTGGCCGTCAACGGTGAGTCAAATGCGATGGGGAAAACAGTGCAAATGCGTGACAGTTTTTCTGTATATGCTTTGAAAACAAGTTCTTGTCAGAGAAACACTCTGTGAAACATGTGTGTTCATGCTTTTTTTACAATTAAATTGGGACCCAAGGTGTGGTGGTATTTACAGTTGTTTAGTTTTGTATATAGTTTGCCTGGTTCTAGTGTTTGAAAAGAACTTTGAGATAACCATGTGGGAAAACGTTGTGTCAGACTTTGAGAGAACTTTGAGGGATCTTTGAAAGAACCCTGAGAGAACCTTGAGAGGAAACCCCGAGAGAACTCTGAGAGAACTTTGATAGAACATTGTGACAGGACTTGGACGGACTACTTTGATAGAACATTGTGACAGGACTTGGACGGACTCTCTCTCTCTCTCTTTCTCTCTTTCTCTCTTTCTCTTACACATTTCTGACTGATGTCTTCTCATGCAACAAATTTCATGTACACAAATTACTTTGATGCCCTCTGTGCAGTCGTACTGTCTAACCGTGAGCGAGTGAGAGTAAGATTTGGAGTGAGAGTGGGTTACTTTGAGAGAGGAAAGAGATGGTTTACGGGTATCACACTGTGTGACGAATCTTGTCTAAAACCTTCCATTTTTAAACATCCAGATGCTGAAACAAAAGAACACAGTATCAGAATAGTGAATTATGATCCTGGAAATCGATTATCGAAAGACTTTTTCAAACATGTTCAAACAGTTCTAACACATGTATACTGTGCCATTGGTGACGTAGCATTTTCCTCATATCAATTTCAAACCCTTTCGTGTAGTTGTGGACTGTCACTTGAACCTGCGGCCATGGAGAGCTTCCAGCTGAAGAACCTGAACCCTGCGCAGCTGTTTCAGCTGTTGTTCCTCACCGTGCTGGAGCTGGCAGAGCGCTTCCAGATCAACCTGAGGGGGCGGCCGCGTGTTTTCATGCGGGAAGAACCTGATGAGGAAAACCCACCAGAAGCTGTCCAGCCACCACCGGTGCCAGCTCATGGGCCAGTACGTGCTCGCAGATGCCAGAGTGCCTGCCGCTTCTGCGTGCAAGGCTGCGACCGAACGAAGCCCTACCACAAGCATCATGCTTGCCAAGGACATGCCCACCTGAGGTTTTGAACTTTGAACAAGGTTCCACAGCAGTACAATAGATTATACAGTATTTAGCAATTCATGCAAAGTTCCAACCTTGAACCTTACAGATCTTCAGGGAATTGTGGAGCGCAGAGAAGAAAAAAGGCGGTCGCATCCTAGAGAAAGTCGAGAAGTTTTGGGTTGAAGTTGGTTCACTGTGAGAGAACTTTGAGAGAGGTTGTCGTGTTGTGACCTGGTTTTTTTTGAGAGAGGTTGTCGTGTTGTGACCTGGTTTTTTTTGAGAGAGGTTGTCGTGTTGTGACCTGGTTTTACTTTGAGAGAACTTTGAGAGATACTATATCGTGTTGTGACCTGGTTTTGCTTTGAGAGAACTTTGAGAGAGGTTGTCGTGTTGTGACCTGGTTTTACTTTGAGAGAACTTTGAGAGAGGTTGGACTTGTGTAGAAGGAAAATGTCCGAAAGTTCTAGGTTTGAAGGCTGTCAAGATGGTTGCACGCTGACTCTCAAAGTGAACATCAACAACACTCTCATGGTTAGGACACACTCTCATGGTCGCCAAAAAAAACAGGAACAACATGTGATATCCACTTTCTCGACCCCGTATGCAATGTTTTTATTTTCAGATCAGAAGAACAAATAAATATGTCGTATAAATATCCAAACCTTTCAACACCATCATAGAGTATAAGAAGAGTTTCTTGTCAGGGCCACAGCTGTGCACCCCATATCGACATACATCTGAATTAGATCTTTGCTTAGCACCGCCATGGTGGCGCACATGTCTCGAAAACGTGATCGTTCTGGTGGCCAGAGGCAAAGACTGCGACGCATGTTGCAGGAAGAACAGCTGAACTGCCAGAGCGTTCTCTGTACTTGGTTGTTGTCAATGTTTGCATGGGGACACTTTAGCGTGCAACGAGTACAAAAGATCAGTGCTTTGGTTATGAAAGATTTGAAGAGTGCTGAGACTTCTGAAACAATCTGGAATGACTTGGAGACATTATCCAAGTTAGGAACTGAAGGTCTGTACGCGAACAAGATGCACACGGAGCTCATGGGCAAATGCAAAGGCTTGTCTAACCTACCGGAGCCTTACCCAGTGGATATCCAATATGCTCCGCCTTTGGGCATGCAGAAACAGGATGTTTTTCTTCCTCATGAAGTCTTCAGCGCAATTTATCACAAGTATCCACAAACATGGCAAAAAACGATGGTACCGTCGCAGGCTCACTTGGAAAGGTTCTGGACAGTCACCGATGGCCATCCAACCTTGGTTAATTCCCCACTGAAAGAATGTCCTTCTTACAAAACGAAAACTGTACCTATCCTGCTGCACGGGGACGGGGTTCCAATCGTCGGAATTGGAAAGGGATGGTCCAAGATTGCAACTGTGTTTAGCTGGGCCAGCATGCTTACATCTTCAGGGACCAAGGAGTCCATGAAATTTATATGGGGAGCTTTCGACAAACTCTGCAAAAAGGATGGTGAGGGAACTGATGGTACATTTTCAACATTTTTCAAAGTTCTAGTCTGGTCGCTGCAGTCTTTGTATTCGGGTAAGTGGCCCCATCGGGACCACAATGGACACTTATTTCCTTCATCTTCCTGGCGGGGAAAGTTGGCAGGTCAAGATCTGGCGGCAGGTTTCACTGGTTATCTTTTCTCTGTCATTGGAGACATGGATTATTTTTCATCGATACTACAGCTTCCTCACTTTAGCTGGGCAAAGGGGCCGTGTGCACTTTGCAAATGTACCCTTGGTGGAGTGACCACATGGACAGACTTTAGAAAGACTGCGGCTTGGCTAGGTACTCGGTGGAGCAAAGCCGACTGGTTTAATTTTGAGGCTCGCTCCATGAACCCTTTATTCAACGAATTACCTGGGCAATCTTGTCACACTGTGTCGCTCGACCTGATGCATTGCAAGTACTTGGGCCACGATATGTATTTCTTTGGATCAGTTCTCACACTACTATGCCAGTACCTCTTGCCTGGAAGCGAAGAACAGAATTTGAAAAGATGCTGGGACTTTTTGAAGCGATTCTACAAGGAGCATTCCATTCCTTCGCCTTATCGATATCTGACTAAGATATCTATGTTCATACGCAAAAAGAAGTTTCCCAAACTACGGGGCAAAGCGTCGGAGGTGCGACACCTAGCAAAACCACTATCAGCATTGTGGGCTCATTTCATGAATAAGAACGTGGAGACCCACAGACAAATCGATTTATATCTCAGACTAAATATCCAGTTTGAGAACATTTTGGACGACCACAAGGATGACTATGCCTTACCCCTTGCTGCCTACACTGCCTTTATGAATGCGGCATTTTCTATGATGCAACTGTGCTCATCACTGGCAGACCATTTTATTCAAGAGGGTATACCCATGTTCGACATGACGTCGAAGGCGCATGCTGTCCTGGAGATTGCAATTCTCAGTCGTCACATAAACCCGAGAACTACTTGGTGCTTCCGAGGAGAAGACATGATGCAGAAAAGTCAAGTTTTGCTACAAAGTTGCGTTCGAGGCAACAACGGAGCCCTTTGCTTCAGGAAGATGCTTGCCCACTATAGATTGGGTTTACACATGCTTTTCACTGAGCACAAAGATTGAAAAAGTGACAAAAAACATGGCTTGGTTGTGATGGGACTCTATATGCTGGCGAGAAACTTGTGAACACAGAGAGAAATTTGTCGTATACATACATATCTATATATATATACTTGTTTATTGATTTATTGTGCATTCATTCGTTTATTTGTTTATATCACAACACTAGATAGATTTCTCCTATGTATATCTACATATTTATATTGCAGGTTGTTTATGTCTTTAACTTTTAGGATATGACATGGTTCTTTTGGGATCACTCTCAACGGAGACACGCAGTCACACTTAGAGAGAGAGAGACCTGGAGAGTCATGAGATACTTGGAGAGAGATGGTTCTTCGATGTGGTGTGAGTGTGTTTTCTCTCTCTGTCAGAATTCGTTTATCAAAGGGCCTTTGGCGCCATCCCGACACGTCTTCCTGAGACTTTTGTGATCTCCCGAGCTCAAGCCATGGACGTGCTTTGCGACCGCGATGAGTCCCCGTGGTTCAGGGTCCTTTCAGGAATGGTGTTCCTTATCAATGCTGGCTATAGGGATCGATTTTTCTTATCCCTCATGGACTTGCACCTTGGTGAAAAATAGTACTTGTCTTACTTTTCTTTCTTTTTGGAGTGGATGCTCGATTAAAAGGGTTTTGCCAAACACTCTTGACGTGCAGGCACAAGTTTTACAATGGCTGTCCATGGCAACGAAAGGAGGACCATTCCGCAGGGTTCCACGAACGTTCTCGCTTTCAGTGGGGAAGTTGGGAAATCAAGGCAAGGGGAGTTCAAACATATTTGTTGGGTCTAGGGCATAGAGAATCTAAAGTGTTTTCAAGTTTAGGTTTTGTATTAAACACAAAAAAACATTGTGGTAAACACCTTCGTTGAATCTGTTGGTGTCCAACCTTGCTGCCAGACCATGAATGGCCTTGTGGTTCCTCGATGGGATCTTTGGATGTCGAACCGTGGCAAAGCTCGAGACTTTTTCGAAAGTTGGCTACATGTGCAGATGCGAGACTCTCCAGGCTGCGACCTCACCTACCAAGTATTGGTCTTCTTGGAGCGGCTCTTCATGGCAGGCTTGAAGCTATATGGTGAAGACCACCGAGATGTCTGGGAAAATCCTGAAGACTTCTTTGTGCGAATGCTGCGACATGAAGGGCAACTTGGATACACCATATGAGATTACATTCTTCATCTTTTGATAGATAGATAGATATATATATATGTGTGTATTTTTACGTGGTTTTGTTGGATGCAGAGAAAACTATACAATCACCTGACCTCCATACTTTTTGAGAAACATTATGGATGTGTTTTTTGTTTCACTGAGAGGTGTTTCCCTGAATCCAATGAGGTACCGTGTCGAAGATCAGAAAATATGGCTTGTTGACGAGAGCAGCGGCTGGTGGGAGGAGAAAAAGCCATGTGGTCTAAATTTGAAGGAAGCGTTTGACTTGTTGCACGATGTGAAACTAAAAGACATCATGCAGCAGTGGGTTGAACCCAATGCTCCTTCTTTGCAATGGCAATAATGAGAAGTATATACGGAACATGTGCAATTTATGTTTACAAAATATTTCAGCTGGACTGAAACACATGAACACCCACATATATATGTATATTACGATCCTATACAGTATATGAATAATTTCATGATGTTATCATGTGAGAGGAGTGTCAGAATATACAAAAAAAATCATTGCCTTTGCCGCATATAAGCTTTTTTGCTTTTGAATTTTGGCCGGCCTTCACCCGAAAAACTTCGGTGTTGTGGCAGAGCTGAGACTAGGAATTGTCTAGTCTGGTAAAGATCTGAAGGATCCCTTTTTAGGACCCACAGCTGTTTACAGGACTTGGACTTTTGGATGTGTCCAAATCTGTACTATGTAGGAATAGGCACGGAGACAAACCGATCTCTGGCTCAAAAAGGAAAGCAGTGCTCTTGTGTGTGAGGGGAATGGGAACGAATTTGGGCGAGAACCCTGAGAGAAAACTTTGAGAGAACTTCGAGAGAACTTTGAGAGATTTCTTGGACATGTGTTTTTTGAGAGAGATGATATTTAATGTTGTTTTTGGGAGATATGATATATTTAGAAAGAAAGTATGTTCATTGGATTTCACTGAATACAGCTACGATGTGAACAATGCAAATATTCATTTGGTAATCATACCTTCCTAACTATTTCGATGACACTCTCACAGTCAACTCTCATGGTAAACTCAAACAGTCAACTCTCATGGTAAACTCCTACAATCAACTGTCATGGTAAACTCTCACAGTGAACTCTCATGGTAAACTCTTACAATCAACTCTCATGGTAAACTCTCACAGAGTCAACTCTCATGGTAAACTCTAACAGTCAACTCTCATGGTAAACTCTCACAGTGAACTCTCATGGTAAACTCTTATACAATCAACTCTCATGGTAAATTCACAGTCAGCTCTCTCATGGTAAACTCACAGTCAACTCTCATGGTAAACTCTTACAAAATCAACTCTCATGGTAAACTCACAGTCAGCTTTCATGGTAAACTCTTACAATCAACCCAAATGGTAAAGTCTCACAGAATCAACTCCCATGGTAAACTCTCACAGAGTCAACTCTCATGGTAAACTCTCACAGTCAACTCTCATGGTAAACTCTCATATATTTTGCACTCATATATAGAAAACGCTCAATCCATCAATGCCCCAAGCAAATGAACATGTTTCTCTTTCTCTTCATGTCTGATACAAGTTTTCTCTCAAAATGATAAGTGGGGACAGATCAAAAAAACTATCAGAGGATGTATACACCCAAAAAGAGATGCCCCAACAAAGGTATACTGTGAGATATACCATGTATGGTGCTGTGCATTTACTGTGAGAGACCACATGTTGATAACATACTGTGAGAGATTTTGAATTATGAGGAATGCCGAGAGAGAGGGAGAGAGAGAGAACCACTATGTAGCAAAAGAGACATTGCCTGTAGTATCTTGACCGTTCGTGTTCTAATGCATATATAATATATTGATGCATGCACTGAATCAAACTGGAACATGTTTACATGACAATGTGTGGTCAGAGCCAATGACAGTTTTTATGATCAAAACATCAAAATGCATCAATATATATGTATATATATTTATCACAACTTATTGCATGATCGTGTGTGTCCACAAAACTAAGAGGCAAATTATCTGTCAAATTTTGATATAAAACTCCGAAGCCAACTTCGAAGTTTTATATCGTGCCCCAGGTGTGACCCCGGAGTTCGTTCGAAGTTTTTCTGTCAAAAACAGATATCTATTTCGGCAAATTCTATCTATTTATAGATATCTATTTCGGCAAAATTTATCTATATAGGTAACTCTAAATCTAACTATTTTTTTGAAAATAGACAAATCAAAATAGATAGATTTCCAGAAAATAGTTTGCAAAAAATCTATCTATTTTGTAGTTTTTAAATAGTCTAAAATAGTTATCTAAAAAAATATCTTATATATAAAAATCTAGGAAATAGTCAAAATCCTAGAATAGATAGGATTTTGTCTAATTCGGTCTATTGGGTAATAACACTTCGAACCCTCGAACTCGAACTCGAAGAGTTCCCCCCCCCCCTCAACGAAAAGCAAATCTCCCGACCTCGAACTCGAACTCGAACTCGAACTCCTCCCCCCCGCTCCCCTCCAACGATGACAGTTCGAACCCTCGAACTCGAACTCGAACTCGAACTCGACTCGAACTCGAACTCCCCCCCCCCCAAAAAAAAAAAAACTCCCGACCTCGAACTCGAACTCAAACTCGAACTTCCCCCCCCCCATCCCCTCCGAAGCAGACGTACGAAGCCAGTTCAAACTGGTATCGAACAGTTCGAAACCCCCGGGTTAACTCGAACCCTCGAACTCGAACTCGAACTCGAACCCCCCCCTCCCCTCGAGGCACACCTAGGATGGCAGTTCGAACTCGAATCGAACAGTTCGAACCCCCCCGGGGCACACTCTGGATAGTTGTACGATATCTGCCAGTTACGAAGTAACCCAGGCGCAGAAAGCCATACTGCAGCTTGATCATACAGCCAAAGGAGCCAGCACGTCATCGGAAGAGCTTAATGCGCAGATATCACCACGCACTGATGATGAGCACAATCTCCCATACCATGAGGACTATTGGCAAGAGTGGTGATTACCGTAACCACAATGGTGATTACCGGAACCACAATTTTGATGCTGATGCCAAGAAAAGACAACTGAGCACAGAGTCTTTCAGCCCTCGTGCAATACACATGGATAACCCTGGCCAATATGATGATTGGAAAAGCACTTCTGAGCGGACTCTGAGTGTGCCCTGAGTGCCGTAGCTTTCCTGTCTTTTTCACCTTAGATCATGTTTCACTCCCCTGTTTCACTGCGGTAGTCTTTCTCACCACTTTCGTTGCGACCCGGCTTTGTCGGTGTTTGCTTCAAAGTGTCTGGGTGTAATGTCATGCCGTGATGGCTGCTCTTTGTGATCTCGGGGATCCTGGCTGGGGGGATCCTTGGTTTCCGCATTGAGCTTTGTTGCTTCCTGCACCCTCCAAGTGGCCCATTGTGACTTTGTCGTTGGTCCTGTTGTTGTTGTTTTTTATGGGTCTGCGAACATGGCACATAAGTTGTCATCTGCATGCGCCGAGATGATACTAAGCTATCACCTCTCGCCTCAACAGATCTTTTTCACCATTAACTGGAACCTGTCACGTCACTGCTTTGTTGTTGTGTGGTTGTTTGTCTTTTGTGTGGGTTGTTTTTGTTTGGGTTTGTTTTTGGTGCTGTTTTTGCTTTTGGTTCCTTGTGTTTCGGTTTTTGTTCTTTGGAACGTGACGAGGGAATAGGACTATGTATCGGTCCTCTACCAGTTTACTTTTGCGGCCACTACAGCTTCGGCCCCTGCGTGAATTAATTAATTATATGCAACATGCTTGGAAACATGTTGAACGACCTGGCGGAAGCCATACGGCGTTGGACGGAAAAAAACATTTGTTTGTCGGAGAGACTTTAAGAAGCGATTCCAGGCGCGAAGGTAGTGTGGCGGCAAAGATTTCTCGAAATCAAGAGCAGGAATGGTATCACTGCATTGCATTTTGGCTTTAATTTGGAATTGAGCTTTATCTCCCCAGAAAGGTAGCACGCGAGCTGAACCACTTGAAGCAGCACAAAGCGTTGCGACAGGCATCTCAACTGTGTTGCTTGGGCTTACAGATGCAATTTGTCACTGTTTTCTGATGTTGGCCCTCTTGAGACCATCGCGGAGAACAAGAAAGAACAGAAGTCGGCAGCAAAGCGCCGCCAGCGGTTGCTAAAAGCAGCCCAACAGCCGCCAAGCTAGGATGTGCGTTTTCCCACAGTGCGGAGCGTATAGTTGATGAACTTGGCCTACTATACCCTGAAAACCGTGGAAATTTGCGGAAAAACATGGCCAGCGTATAGCGTATAGTTGGTTCAATTCGATAAAAAAACCATACTAAAAAAATCTTTCTTAGAATGTAAGCTGACCGGCCAAAATGGATCTCACGCCACAGCGCGGAGCGTTTAGTAGGGTACTAAACCGTCTGGCCCGCAACACCAAAATTGTGTTCTCGCCACAGGCGCAGCGCTTGAGAACCTGTACGGCCATCTTAAAAGTTGAAGCGCGGCAGGTGCAGCGCTTGAGAACTCCGTGCGGCCATCGTAAAGGTTGAAGCACTGCAGGCGCAGCGCTTGAGAACCCAGTACGGCCATCTTTCCTTGCATGGCCCCCACAAGGGCCAACCACAAACTGAACCCCTGCGACCCCATTGTCAATGTTGAGGGTGTGTTGATGCTATTGCAACTAAGAAGTGAATTCCAATTTGAGGATGTGACCTGAGGCAAAATTTCTTTTTGATGGCTATCAGTTCAAAAGGTGAAACTGCAACATTTAAGCTTCCGTCCAACATTGAAGATGGGGCGCGGGGATTTAAACATACGTCAAATCCTCATCTTGGATTTGCAACTGCAAGTCTGGAGTCTGGAAGCGCAAACATCGACGATTCCCCTTTGCAGGAGGCACTCTTGGGAATTCCGATGTCGGGATTCTCCACAGGAACTGTAAATCTGAACACCACAAGCCGCTTTTGAAGCATCTATAAATCTCCGAGCGTCACACCGGCTTTCGGTGTGTGTAGATAGTCCAATCTTCCAGTGAAGAAAAAAGGGGAGCTACAGCAATCATAGCTGAGAGTCAAAGATCGCGTTTATCTTTCGTCTTGGTGGAGGCTTCAGGTTGGGCTTGCCACTGTGATGGGCGCTGTCCTTCTGCTGCAAGAGCGCTGTTGATTTCCAACCACATTGATGAGAAAGAGTTCACTACTGCAATTTTTTCAGCTTTGTTCCATGGACGGGGCAAGCAACGAAAGATAGCTTTGTTGGGTTCCTCTGCAAATGAGGGAAATCTTTCATCTGGGCCCCAATGAAGGAGATCTACGCACAGGGCAATATATGCTTGGCACCATCGGCTTCCGCCTTTCCACTGCTCCATGTGGAGGCGTCAAAT